GAGAGTTAAACACCGAAGAACCCATTCAAATGGTTTTTCGAACGGGAAGTTTAATCCTAACGTGGTTTGCATTTTTCAAACTTTTGCTGTGTTCTTACGCAACAAAAGTACCATTTCTGATCTAAACAATCTATTCTGAGATATAAGTTCGGTAGATTATTTTTTTGAGTTTCGCCCAATTTAATAGTTAACTGTAGTTTTGCCTCAGCTTACTATTCGGTTATTTTCAGTTTTTCACGTAAAGGCTATTTCATTTTATCTCATCCGTTTTTATATATTTTTCCCGTTTTTAGTGTGCTTTTTAGCGTATTTTTAACGGTCTTAAGCTTTTGATACTATCTCTAACACAGTTTACGTCAATACAGCCATGAAAAATTCATGCAAACGACCTGGATGCCGTTTTGCTGTTACATCTGGCATGCAGTGCGACAACTGCAAAGGTTCGTTCCACGAAACGTGCACATATCTCACGGCAACTGCTTACAATAGACTCAGCAAATCGGATCGTAAGTGGATGTGTGTTACGTGCAGCACGGCTGCTGTAGTACTGCTGAGCAACATCATTGTTCTATTGACAGGTCTGCGGAATAAATTGTCAGTAAACTTGGAAACAGATAGTCATAAAATAGGTGGATAAACAAGGGCGCGCAACGAAAATAAGAATAGGGATGTCGATAAGTCTACCATCGATGGAACACACATTAGCACTAATGATGACATGTTGAAACTCAGCACCATCATTAAGTCGACGGTAATAGACTCCCTCACTAAACTCGGATTTTCCAGCACAGGGTCCTTAAAAGCAACAGTGGTTCCCAAAAACCCTGCAGGTGGGTCCGCCCACGCTAACAGAGCTAAAAAAGACCAGGCGTCACCGTCAAAACTGAACATCCTAAGTGTTGTACGGACATCAACTGGTGATTTGATCACACAGTCTACCCACAAAAACGTCCGCCCGGTTATCAAAAAGCCCACGACTCAAAAACCTGCTTCGACATCCAAACAACAACGTACTGAACTTGAACACACCGAAAAACCTGGGAAAACAACAACGGTTGGTGATGACTCTCTCGTAATCATGAACCTCATAGACAACCCTGACCTTCCTCTCTGTTTTCAGGACAAAAACGACAGGATGCTCTGGGGTGAACTGAACAAAAAGCTCGAACTTCCTAGAATGGAGCATTTGACGGTCACACGGCTCACTCGGGGAAAGGAATCTAAGCATCGAAATCACCCGAGACTACTTCGTTTAACACTCAAGAATGCTACCGAAGTAGAGGATGTCCTGCTAGCTAGTCACATACTGAAATTCGATGGAAACGTCAGAATACTGCCCGACATACCGTATTCTGAGCGCAATCTCATCCGGAACGTCCCTAAAGATTGTCGAGAGAAGTTTTTCCGAGGAAGAAATATCATTGTGCAAGGTTTACCGGAAAACATGGACACTAGTCAAGCAAACTCTGACATTCGGGAATGGAAATTCATCAAACAGTCCTTGAGGCTCAAAAACGTACTGACTCAGAATGTGATGAGACTAGCCAAGAAGGACGGGGATCCTAGACCTTGACTAATGAGGATAACTTTCCCATCCTCCCATATGGAGGCTGCAGCTCTGGAAGCATTTCGTGTCAACAGACGTCGGTTGCCAACTGGGATTCACATGCAGGATCAAGTACAAAGGCAAGTTGGAGCCGACCATTCCACTTGTGAACCGTCTTGAAGATAAAAAATGTGTAAAGGACAGGGCCTACCGATTCGGCAAACCTTATATAGGTAGGCTACCTGTACACTCATGTAAGGCTCTCGCAGACAAACAGGAAGAAGCTCACGCGTTTCAACTTAAAAGCATTAACTGCTTATACATGAACGCCGCGAGTCTACCAAACAAAATGGATGAGCTACGTAGACTTAGCAATGCTAATAAGGTTCATCAGATAGGAATATCTGAAACTTGGATATCTCAGTTTGGGGACCAGGAGCTAGCAATACCTGGGATGTCTCTGTTTCGCAATGACAGAAAAACAGAAGTTGGGGGGTGGAGTAGCCCTATACATACGATCTGGCTTGGAGGTACACCAAGTTCTCACCAATGAGTTTAACAATATTGAGGAATTCATATGGTGCTCTGTAAGATTGTCCACTACTTCGAGGTGCCTATTCGGAGTCATATATAGGAAGCCCACTGCCGACATCGAGTATGACAGTCGCATGCTGGGAGGACTATCCCGCTCTACGCGTCTCGGTTTCACTCATATCCTGATTCAAGGGGACTCCAATCTCCCTAGAGTCAATTTCACGGAACATACGTATATTGGAGGTGAAAACTCAACTGAAGCTCGGTTCTTCAACCTCATTGATGATTTGGGATTATACGAAAATATGAAGTCGGCAACTCATTGAAGGAGCAGTCAGACACCGTCGCGCTTAGACTGTGCATTTACAAACGAAGAATTTCCAGTTGACAACCTCTCAATTCTGGCTCCCCTGGGGAAAAGTGATCACGCCGTTATAGCTTTCAGTTTTGTCAGCAAAACTGAGCTAAGATATCCCAACAACAACAGGCGCTGGAATTTCAAACGGTTGAATGTGTCAGCTCTACAGGAATATCTACAACAGGTGGATTGTGATGTTCACCCTCAACTTGATGTGGATGCTCACTGGGACTTCTCACTGCACACGCTCTTACGTGCTACCAAGCAGTCAGTTCCTCAAACGGTCCCGAAAAGCCACATGCAACCTACAATCATCAAGAACCGCACTCTTCGTTTGTTAATCCGCAAAAGGCACTGTTGGGCAGAATACAAACGAACCGACAACAACGTCGAGTACAGGCAATACAAACAAATAAGGAACATATGCACGAAGGCTATAAGAGAAGACGGGCTTCAGTACCAGTTAAAGCTTATGGATAAATTTATTTCCAATCCGAAAAGCTTATTCCGTTACTCAGACTCTCTTCGTCAAGCGAAAACTGAAGTTTCTCAACTGCTAGGTCCTAACGGCATGACTGATAATGACGGTGACGCCGCTAACCTTCTGGCTGAGCAATACTCCCGGACATTTCAACCGACCCACATCAACTATACTAATGACAGCTCTATCCGCAACTGCACAGGACTTTCCGTAGTGAAACTGAGCTCTGACTTGGTCCTCCGAAAACTGCAGCACCTAAGAACAGACACTTCTCCTGGTCCAGATATGGTCCACTCTGCTATACTGAGGGAAGTAGCTTCAATCCTGGCCACACCGCTTAGCGTGATGTTCTCACACTCGCTAAGTCGAGGCAAACTACTGGATATTTGGAAGCTGGCTCATATCACACCAATCTTCAAAGGAGGTCGACGAAGCGAACCTTCAAGTTACCGACCGGTGGCTCTTCGCTCTATACTTTCAAAAATCATGGAGTCCCTGATATACGATGGTATGCACGACTATCTGCTGTCCTTAAATTTCTTCTCACCCCAGCAGCATGGTTTCAGGAAGGGTTATTCCTGTATGACGAACCTGCTGACCGCGGTGGACAGCTGGACAAGCATCGTTGATCACAAGGGGAAGGTGGACATCATTTACCTTGATTTCTCTAAAGCTTTTGTTAGGGTTAACCACATAGGTCTTATCAACAAGCTAACACAGTTGGGTATCAAACCACCTTTAATTGACTGGCTCAGTTTATATCTGAAATATCGACATTTTAAGGTTAGGGGAAACTTCGATTTCTCACAGGCTATGGAATGTCGTAGTGGGGTTCCCCAGGGCTCAGTACTGGGACCTCTTCTTTTCCTGATTTATATAAATGATCTTTTTGCCGATGACGTGAAACTTTGGAGAGAGATACGCAACCAAGAGGATATACAGGCACTTCAGGAGGATCTGACTTGACTTCAAAGTTGGGCAGATGATAACGGACTTACCTTTAACACTTCAAAGTGTAAAGTAGTCCATCTGCGACACGTCGCAGAATACAGTTACAACTTAGGAAACTCCTCTCTGGTAGTATCGTGAGTCGTAAAAGATTTGGGAGTTCTGGTGCCCTACAACTTAAAGTCTTACGCCAAAAGGATAAGGACACTCTGGAGCGTATCCAACGGCGAGCCACGAAACCAGTTCTGGGACTCAAATTTAAACCTTACGATGAGCGCCTCCAATCACTTGACCTTTACCCATTAGAGTATAGGCGTCTTAGAGATGACCTTCTAATGGCTTACAGTATCCTTAACACTCCTGGACATCTTCATAAACACCTACTTAGGCTTAGTCTCAACACTAACCGAAGGGGTAACACCCGGAAATTGGAGATAAAACATAGTAGAACGGACTGCAGACACAACTTCTACTCCTTAAGAGTTGTCAAATGCTGGAATTCGCTGTCAGCTGAGCTAGTCCAAGCAACTTTTCCAGGAGTCCACAACCATTTGAACCATTTGAAATACACTCTTAGTCTGATTGTAACCCCTACTCGATTCTATGAAAATGGTGAGAAATATTAAAAAAATATGAGGCAGTGTAGAACCATAGTTACTAACTTCGTCTCCAAGTGCTGTTAGAGGGAATACCTTTAAATTGAATGGTGAGTAAGGTTTATTATAGTAAAGTTTAAGGAAGTTTGAACCACACTGGTCTGTATGGACCTCAGCAAACTAATCCTCAGACATAACCCTGAAAAACATTCATCTTTTAAATTTTATGACGGAAATAATAAAACATCACAGTTTTTATGGTAGATTTACACAGATCTACATCTTGCGATTAAACATTAAATGAATACTCTTGCGAAACAAATCGTGTTTGATTATGAACAACCATTAAATATAAAATTCTTTACAGTCTCATTCGTTTTCCAACCAAGTTAATGAAAAAATATGACATATTTATAAATGGGTTTTATGTTTCAGGGTTGGTTCTTCTCTGTTTGTTTAAGTGCTACAAACATAGTTAATATGTCTCCACAGTTGAAAAGGTCGTTTCATACTGTATTTTCCTAACCAATACAGTCTATGGCTTTTAAAAAGGTAAAGTGAATGAATAGTTTTTGACTTTCCTGTTGCCGTAGCTCTCACGTGCATACATATTGTAGATCAGTAGTTCACTAAAAGCTAGTCATATCGAGTTTAACAATCTTGTCGAATTACTAAATATATTCATTTGTTGAGTAGTTGATCATTAACTTAACTACTTTTATATTCCTCATCAACCACCTGACTGCAGATCTTGAGTCTACATTTTTCAAAGTGACTGAAGCCGGTTACGAAATCAAGATCTGCTCATGTTTAAGGTTTATCTAACATGCTTACCATATCGCTTCTTACAGCCTAGTTACTACTACCTTGCTGAAGTCCTTTGGTTTTAGATGCTAACCTTGTGCCCTGGGGTCAACAAAGAAAGGAGATGACTACTAGTATCTCAATCACTACTCACTATGTACTTAATGTCGCATATATTTTACTAGCATTTCAGCTCCGCTTGTTTCCCTTAGTGTATTTGTATGCTGGTTGTGAAGTTTTGACAAACCCGTGTGTTTTCATGATATGCCTATCATGTACACATTCTTCAGAAGTATTAGTTGTCGTTTTTATCCCTAAGGGCTTTGTTTAGCCTTGTTCTATTGCTTAATTTTGGCATAAATACAGTTTTTAACGTCGATGTTCGCATGTAGACACTTTTCTGTGTGAAGTTTACATAAATTCAACCTGAAATCGCTAGCTTTGTTGAAGTGATTAGTACAGTTCTGTGTTATCGTTGAGAAACTGTAAGACAGTCACTTCGTTGGATGGATTACAAATAACGTTAATATAGAACTAAGTGGCCCCTTATATTTCCCGATATAATACAAACTTTTATTGTTAATGGCGTACTTAACACTATCCACAAGTTAATAAAAGATGCTTTCTTTTAAGCTGGGTTTTTAATTAGAAATAGTTAGTCCATAACTACTACAAATGTTTTCAAAACTGATCATGGCCTGTCATTACTGAATGTAATGGTCATCGCAAACTTTGTAACCCTTGATGGAATTACGTGTATACCGTCTTTTGTGTGTCCGGTTTGCAACCACTGAGTAAGGGGCTCAGACCCCGTTCTAATTAGCCGGATAGTTTTACTTGTTTCGGCACTGTTGGGATTACAAGTAGAACTCAATGTAAGTATTGGTAATACCTCAGTGCTTGCATTAAAACAGGTTGGAAGCTATGTTTCAGTTAATATTTATAGGCAGCAGCTAGAGTGGTCTAACCACGTCACAATATTTGTTCCTGGAGCTTCCGTAAAGCTCATCGTTCCTCAGCCGTGAATTGGGATGAAAAGATCTACAAATAGTTCATAAAATAGCGTTGTGGAGTGAGGAGTATTGGTTTTGTTAGTCTCTTATGGTTTCCTACGACTTTCCGGAAAGTCGTAGTGGCTGTGTGACTTAGTAATAATAATCTAGTTCTGTTTCTAAGTATGGAGTCACTTCAGGTAGGGGTTGGTGTTACTACCTAGGTGCCTAGATCGAAGTTAGGGGAGTGGGGTGTTTTAATCACTAAGTAAATTCAGATGGAACTTCAGTCTATAAGAAGTCAAAGGGAGAAATGCTTGTATCCCAAAGCACGTCCGCAGAAAAAATAATTATAGAAATCAATAACGTCTTTGTAAATGATAACATCATGAAGATAGAATTTAACGAAAGTGACTAAGTAATTCTAGGACTTGGTTAACTTTAGAACACAACCGTGCTCTTTTCACTGAAAAATACTTCGTTTGGTAAGAAATGCAGTAAGAACTAGAGTATCATCGCGAGTGGCTTCTATGTACGACCTGAATTCCTCCCGAAATGTAGAGGATCAGTAGCGGCATATATAATAGATTCCTCATCACAAAACATCCTGGTCGTAGTTGTTATCTTGTAGTGGTGATTGTATTCGGATGTCGTAATGATCAGTTGAGTTGTGTTCATGATGTCCGTCCAAAATATTGTAAACTAGCCACTTTTGGATTTGTTGGCATCCAGTATCGTGGTTCTAAAACAATGATCGTTGCAGAAGGCGTTAGAACAAATACTGATGTGAAGTCACTGAGGCTAGTATATTGAAATGGTCATGCTTCGGATCATTATCTTCGATTTGCTAAGCATGTTTATTACCTAAACAGCCACAATCATGTGTTTGGTCGTTTAGACCTAAAAACTTCGGCTCAGGATAACCAGGTCTCAGTCATAGACAGAAAACTCGCACCACATCAATATACATCTTTCAGTTTATGACCCAAATACTATCATTGCGCCTTTGATAGAGATCAGCAGAAGGAAAAGCAAAGGATTACTACTTGATATACTTAATGAGTTGGAGACACGTATACAAAAACAAAATGACACAGTTGATATACTTGGATCATTGTGATTGACCTCGAGCTATATGATCGCTATTTATAACATGTACCAACCAACTCAGTCAACTAAGGTTGACTTGATACTATCTGCTGAACATTAGAATTGTTTGGTTAGTGGCTCTGTCAGTTGAAGTGTATGTTTCAGTTTCTTGTTAGCATCCTCATGCCTTTTACTTTCAGTAGTATCACAATCGTAATTAATGACTGCTTGTTGAGCAGGATACTCACCGTTTAATAAGTGTTCGGCTACTTTGTCCTAGCCATATCGTTTAATTTGAGCTAAGCAAGGTAGCTCATATGTTTGCCTACCACCAACCTGTTAGGGTTAATATGCCTCCCAAAAAATCTAATCGACAGACCCAACCATTTTATTTCTTAAAACAGCGATAGCATGGACCAGTCTTGAAACATTTCTCATCTGGAAATACATGACAAATTCCTACAGCTCTAATAAAATTTTATAAGAAAGGTGCAACAGCTAAAAATAATATGAGGATTGTAAAACATCGGGGAAACAAAAAATTAGTGGAAATGGGAAAATTTCTCCATAACGTTAAGAGACTAAAACGACCCACGTTATGTAGCCACTACCGACTTTGGTTTCTGGTCCTATCTATTCTTTTAAATTACCGTTATATAGCGTAGGCAAAGTATTCGCCTGAAAACTAAAGGACGAGTACTCTGCTCAACAGTTTGCTCTAACTTACTTTATGTTTGGGAAACGTGACCTTTAAGAAATATAGCATATTCTTAAGTTACTGGTGTTCGAACGTAGATCCCCTTCAAAGTATTGGTCATATATGCTGAAACCATTGAGTTAGCAATTCTGAGCTTTATTTATCTGAATACAAACATTGGTACAATACATATGCGCTACACAATAACAATAGGGTCAGTAGCAGTTATTGATTTGTGTGAGGGCTGTGATACTTCCCAAACCGAAGTAGGTGGTTTTCTTGGGGGTCCACGCCTGAAGCCTTTGGTCTGAAGGTCTAATCCACCGGGCAGTAAAACAACGTCAGGAGATGCAGTCCCATGGGATTTGAATCAACAAATGCATCTCTGTGCTAATGTGGTATGGCAACTCGAACTAATGTACGTACGTACGAAGTTCCACATTGTTACTGACTGACTGACTGCAGTCCCATAGTAGCCGGTGACCAACAATAGGTCCATACGCCTTTTGTTCCCTCAGGATCCTGGAGCCCATGTACACCATTGGTTTGGAATCAAGGTTTTCCAACTCCTCTAGGTGAACCCTCTGTGTGTGCCAAGTTGATTAAACCATCGGACATTCGCTTTTCATCCTCTTGATTTCGTTAACGAAACGTCAGGGAGCAGGACCTCCCTGGTAGTGGCCGTATACCCGTGGTCATTTGAGAGCATTTCATGAGGGAGGACGAACTCTCCCCACCCTCGGCCATACCAGGGCCCTTGGTGGGTATTAGTTAAGTGATAAATCGGTTGACGTGGCAGTAAATATTTCTTGACTGAGATGATTAGGATATGCATTTCGTTTGCCCATCCACCTACTGCCTCGATGCACAATGATTAATGGGGTAAGTTGGAGGCTAGGGGCGGCCAGACTAATACATGGCATCAATTCACAAAGAGGCTGATTGTTGAGCGGGTTCATGCCGATAGGTGGAGACTATCTAACCGGGGTTCGCAGGATTTTCATAATCCATGCTCAAAGACAGGTGGCAGCTCAGAATCGTTTGCAATGGTGCAGGTGCATTCACTTTTTTGTCTTCCCTTAGACCCTAATTATTTTGTGGATTTCTGTTATTCCGCTAATTTTATCTTCGATGCCTAATCCTTTCTACCATCAATAATGCTGTTGCTACCTGAACTACTCTGGGAGTTGCCCTGATAGTTTCATCTCGCTATGCTAATGAAGTGTAGAATGTGCATTATTGACTGACTGGCCTGTACTTCTGACGTCTAACATAAATTTTTAGATATATTTCCACCATTAAAAACAGGATGACAAAATAGCTCAGGAAAATAAAATAGTGCCTTTACAAGGTTATTGGAGTTTGAACACCCCCAACGTGATACCATCCGTGTAATAGTGTGTATCAAGCTCTTAAGTTTCCTAAAACCTTAATTCCTTGCTTCTTGTTTTCGATTGAATTGTATGAGTGATTATAATCTCTGTTATAGTTAACATCATTCTGTCACTAATACCCTTTAAAATACATTTTTAGGAGGAAGTATGTGTATACTAATTTATTAAAAATTACTGGTAACTGCATCATATTTCACTTATTTCCTGTTCTCCTGATTTTGCTCCAGGGTACAGTGGGATGAACGGCGATATTTCTCGCATCCCCATTCAGTCTCTGAGTGCAGTAGTTAGTCTAACAGATATAATTCCTGAACTCCCGTTACCTGCTCCACTACATGCTGGATCCAGTGTGGAGACTTTGTTGCATGATTCTAGAATATCAATAGATGCCTTTCAGTGTCTTCGTTTTGGTCATGACCGACTCGTGGGCTGCCTCAGTGAAGCCCTTGGGAGTGTATGTACCAATAACATGTAAGCCTTTTCTCAATATTTTGTATATACCTTTAGCGATTTCAAGGAGGGGTTTGCTAGTGACATAATTGATCCCCATTTACTACCTGAACCCCTTGTCAGCTCTTTGAAAAAGCTACCAAATTTTGAACAAAAACGAGGATTTTATGGTCTTTCTTATGAATCTTTCAATCCAGTTAATAGTGTTTCTAGTGCGTATAAAGTACAACCTGGTTCATGGTGTTCATCTCTGGATCAACCACTATCTACTGAACTTCATCATTATCCTAATTGTGAGTTTACGATAACTTTTAAGTCATTTTACTCATTCGGCCTCGTTATGACTCCTTGTGTTATGTAATCTTTCATGTGGACAGCAAATGTTTGGTTAAAATCACTGAAGTTTTAAAAACGAAGTATATGTCACTATCTTCCACAGATTTTTGTTTTAATTTAGTCTATCATTTTTTAAATTAGTTTTAAGCCATAACCTTCTGATATAGGAAAAAAGCATAAAGTGCGAGTATGAAAATATGATGAAAATGTCATACATTTAAAGATCACAAGTTTTTGTTCTTTGTTGCCAACTTTTATGTAGTCTGGAAATTGATTCATAAGGCTTAACATCATTGACTATTCCAGTTTCACAGATTCCTCGATAATCCATAGGTAATACCTAACATAAATTTCGAAACCTGTAGTCATGCTAAATATTTTTCGGATTTCGTCTCTAGTTTTGTGGTCTACCATTTTCACATGACGTCCGAGTAAATTTTTGTAATAATTTATTCGCCTAACTTTGTATAATGCTAAATGTTCGTTATTAAGACAAAAACTTAGTGCTGTTTGTTGTACGAAAATTGTCTCTACATTTATTGGATAATCACACTTAGGCTTTTGTGTTAGCTTTTAGCACTAATGTTCTCTTTGACTGATCACTTTGCAGTTATGCGATGTTCGCAATGAAGGTTGATATAGATCAGAAAGAATGACTTAGGATACAGGTTAACGACAAGACTTGAACCCTTCCATACACAATAACTTGTATTATGTGTATTTTTGTAGTTGGGTGCAGTTTTCCCATGTATCGAAGGACACCACTCATTTTTTGTACGCGCTAGTAAGTCATCAGGTGCCTCCTTTCGTTAAGTTATTAAATCTCATGAAGGCCGGTTCAACTAACATGGTGTTACCATTGGATATTAGTAATCTTTAAGGAGCAGCGATAATCAATCAAACATAGAAAGTTGTTTAAAATTTCCAACTACTAGAGATCTCAATTAGTAAGCGACTTGAGATCATCTAGTCGTGTTGCTGTGTAAATTAAAAACTAAAAGAGCACACAGAATGAGAACGAAAATAAATAGATAAGTGAAACAATTTATTATTTATTTATTTGAACACATAAATATTGGTACAAGAGGGCACCAAATATATAGGCACCACACAAAAATAAGTGACACAATGTAGATAAAAAATGGGTGTAACAAGATTGTGAGTATCGTTTGCATAAATAACAAAGCAAATCGAAATTTCCAACAGTAATCATATTTGTGCGTATGTGGGTTGGGTTACTGTCCAGATGATCAGACTAAATAAGTGGTTTTCCTGTAGGGTATTCCCCAAACTTTTGACGGAAGATATCTTCAATGTATGTTCGAAATATTTATTGTCATAGTCAGTAACAACGTGGAACTACGTACGTACGTACATCAGTTCGAGTTGTCACACCACATTAGCATTATCGATTCAAATCCCGTAGTGGTAGAGGTAGTGAAAGTATAAGTAGTAATAGGGAACATTAGGGTTTGATGTTATTTAAGGAGTATAGTCCAGTGGAATAGATTCGGAAAGAAAATAAAGGACATGAAGAATACAGAAGATTAGAGTTTGAGAGAACATAAAGAGTGGATTCACCTGCGTCATTGCAAACAATCTCCAGCCATATCATTCAAGGTTTCTAACCATCGGTTGTTATCATCTCGCGGTCCCCAACCAAGTAGTCTACACCTAACAACACGGCTCAGTCCACTTGTCAGTGACTTCATGGATTTGTGCCATGTTTTGGTCTGGCCGCGCCTAGCTTTCTTCCAACCTACTCCTACACCATAAAACATCGCTCGTCGGGGCAGTCGGTGGTTGGCCATACGTAACATGTATCCCAACCATCTCAACTGATTAAGTTTCACTACATCATCAATTGATTTGCCATTCTTACCTAGTACCCGTTTACTAACAACTGAGTTGCTTACTCGGTGGTCCCAGGATATATGAGCAGTGCTTAGAAGACACCTATGATCGAATACTAGTAACTTACGAATATCCTCTAGTCTTACTGGCCATGTTTCACTGCCATAAAGTAGGACGGAACGAACTGCTGCGCAGTAAACACGTCCTTTGGTTGATAGATGGATATCTCGCATACGCCACAAATGATGCAAGTTGGCAAAAGCTAGTCGAGCCTTTTGTATCCGTGCTGAGATTTCGTCACACACCAGACCACAAGGGCTGATGAGACTTCCAAGATAAGTGAAGCGTTCGACACGCTCAACTACTTCACATCCTATCACTAGTTCGGGTGTCGATGCAACCCAATCCTGAAGCAACATTTTGCATTTCGAGGGAGAAAATCGCATGCCGAACATGCCTGCATTGTTGCTTAGAGTGGTCAGCAGACTCTGCATTCTGTCAGCGTCTTCACCAAATAGAACTATGTCATCGGCATATTCTAAGTCAACAAGTGAATTTCAAGGTAGAAGTTCAACCCCTGGAAAGTCTGATGTGGAAAGAGTTATCTCTAAAAGCACGTCAATGATAAAGTTAAACAAGAATGGAGTGAGCGGACAGTCCTGACGAACACCACTTGAGGTAATCAGTTCTGATGAAAGTTAGCCATATGCTCTCACTCGACCAGTTGTGTTCGAGTAGAGAGCCTTTATAAGGTTAATGTACTTCTTTGGTACTCCTTTCAGAGACAAACACTGCCACAAAACCTCACGATCAACAGAGTCGAATGCCGCCTTAAGGTCGAGAAATACTACCATTGTGGGGCGTCTGAATGTGTGTCTATGTTCTAGAACCTGACGTAGTGTGAATACCTAGTCTATACAACCACGTCCAGGTCGAAAACAAGCCTGGTTTTCTCTAGTCTGCTCTTCACGAGCTTTGGTTAGGCATCGAAGTATTATTGAAGCTAATATTTTAGACATTATATTAGTCAAACTGATTCCTCTGTGATTGTCACAGGAGGACTTTTGTCCTTTCTTATAGACTGGCACAATCAGTGATTGCGACCAATCAGATGGGACTTCGTCCAGTTCCCAGATTCTACCTAGGACCTCAGTCAATCTCGCTGCTAACATTGGACCACCATCCTTAAATATCTCAGGGGTAAACCTGTGAGGGCCTGCTGCTCTCCCACGCTTCAGATTTCCTATAGCTTTTTCAACTTCGTAAAGAGTCGGAGGACTTACATTAACTTGCCATTCAGGTAGATTGGAGATCGTGGGAAACCGAAGTGTGGCTGAAGGCCAGTTGAACTGATCCCTAAAGTGTTTTACCCACCGATCCAATCTCCTGGATTAAGAATGAATAATATGTCCATCTTTCTCTGAGATTGTTTTGCTAACAGTTAGGTTCCTAATACCGGTTTCTTTAACAAGTCTGGACAGTTGCCTGCTGTTACCTATTGACACTGCCTTTTCCATCTCTCTTGCTTTTGCTACCCACCACTGTTCACGATCATTGCGTAGGCTTCTTGTCAGTTTACGCTTAAGATGACTCCGTTCTTCGTTATGTTCAGAGCCAGATGGAATGAGTTTTCGAGCATCTATCAGTGCGGTAGACGCTGCAGAGATCCAGTGTTTCTCCCTAACCTTATGGTTTACCGTACTTGCAGACATCACTGCTGTTTCTACAGCTCTTCGGATGTCATTCCACGCTGCCTCGGGGCGGGCATCACTTACATGGCTGCCTAACTGTTTTTCTAGTTTTTCCTGAAATATACTCTTAGCTTGACTATCATTAAGTAGGACCCTAAGGGGTTTCCTTGTACCATCTCTCCTACGTCCAGTAAGACGTAGACAAATACGCGCTCGCACCAGAGCATGGTCTGAGTCTAAGCATGTGTCCCAGAATGAGCGACAGTCTTCTATCGAGCCCTTCCATCGGTGGCTGATAGCGATGTGATCTATTTGGGTCCAGAGTTTGGACGAATTCAGGGGTCGCCATGTCAAAAGATGTTTGTCCTTATGCTTAAAGTTAGTGTTTGCAAGAAACAGGCGGTTATCTGAGCATAGCTGCAACAGACGGTCGCCGTTATCCGTTCTTTGAGCCGCGACACCATAAGATCCACCCAGGTGTCTTTCCCTTTCGCTTAGTTTACCTACTTGAGCATTAAAGTCACCAGCCACTATTACTACATCAGAACGCCTAGCTTTTCGGAGAAGATCGGAAAGCTTTCTGTAAAACTCATCTTTTACATCATCTGAGTGGCAGTCAGTGGGAGAGTAGGCAGAGACAACGAAGAGGCAATGACGAGTGTACCTATCTTTTCGAGTCCTTACTGTTCCGTTTAGTTGGACAGCGCACAAACGACTGTCTACTGGGATCCAGTCTAAGAGATCTGGTTCTGCCCTAGGACTCAATGCTATACCTACGCCAGCGAGGCCACGGGAAGCAGCATCAGGGCTTCCAGATACACGAAGCGTAAACCGAGTTGGTTCGTTACTTTGACATGGTGAGGTCAAATGAATAACACTACTCGGATCCTGTGTGCGCGTTTTGGAGACGCAGCACACATCGATGGAGCGAGATTCTAAAGTCCTAGCTAAGGAAGCCTGTTGTCCTATTTGGCACAGTGTTCGGACATTGAAAGCACCTACGTGTAGTTTAGAGCGTGGTTTCAGGAGGCCAGGAATAACATTCCGCGTACTCGAATCGTTTGCACTAGCGGTGTTAGGTGATAAAGGTACGTGAGAAGGGTTAGTCGTGGAGATAAGAGAGTTATTAGGAGGTGTAGGAGGGATTTGAATGTGACCAACTTGGCCTCGTGTGCTGTTACGGGTATGAGGGCTGATGTCACTGCCCGGCTGCCCACACCGTGGAAGGGTATTTCTTGAGGAACCTGAAAAGGAAATCGGATTAGTGTTGGTCTTGAAGACCTGGGAGCGTGACCGCAGAGCCCAAGGGACAACTGCTTGAGGCCGGTCGCGCACGGCCTTTTTGTGGGAAGTTTTTAATGTGTTAGCTTCGTTCTTCAAACGGCCTTACTGCCGGAGACGGAAATCCGTGGGGTAAGGTGGAGTGTGACATTTTTAGGGTCAACGTTTTCTAACCCCTTCCTTCCTTGTGAGAAGGCAGCATCGCTGCAGATGCTGGTTGTCCGAGGGAAACACCTTACTGCTGTCACACCTCTGTACAGTCAGCAGTACGACTTTGCCCTCAGACCTTGAGTTGCTGCTTTTAGTCTTACCGTTCTCCAATCGACCTGCCTGGCATGGTAGAACCTGCATTATCATGTGTTCCAGTCAATATAGCTTGGTTGGGTCATCACGATAGGCAAGCCTGACCACCACGTCAAGGTAGCAGCTACGGTCGGTTTATTGTCATAGTATAAAGTAATAGCTGTTAAAATTTACCTGTTGATTTTAGGGTTTAGTTTTTCGAACCTCCAGATATTATGCGCTTCTGAAAACATGTTCTTATGATTCCGGAATATATAATCTAGTTTGATACATTGACGTGCCTTTGCATAAAAGTAATCAACAAAACCCTCATGATTTATGCTCGTTTTCTCTGTTTAGGTTCAAAGCTTTAGATTTCTGTGGTAGAGACCGAGCTTTATTGGTTCTTGAGGGCATATAGATAAGATCACTTCTATTGACCGTATCCATACAAAATATGACGGTAACTTCGTGACATTTCTTGTGGTTTAATTAACTTATATACGTGGTTTGCTACAAAGTTTTTCAGTTAATACACTACTGGCTAAAATATGCTTCATAATCATATGAATGCATGCAGCATCCTATCCCACGAGCTATAGTAAAATATTTTTGTTTTCAGCATTTGAAGAACCAATCGAATCTCCCAGTAAAAAGAAGAAAAAGCGGAAAAAGAAAAAACACAAGTACTGTGATGATGGTGATACGAGTGGGACAGGAGGCGAATCAAATGCCACTACTCCAGCAGCCTGTGGTGGTACAACTCCAAATAAACTTGAGGATAATTCATTGTCTCCCACTTCAACATATGGTATTGTAAAAGTCAATGCAGATACTAAAAAACTATCATTAAAAATTTTCAAACGGCCTGCAAACGATGGCTCTCAGCCTGTTTTTATGGTTGAACAACTAGGTGGAGTTGAGCCGGTTAAAAAAGAGAAGAAAAAGAAGCGGAATAGAGAAAAGGATCGTGAGCATCGATCTCATCACGAAGTTCGACCAAAGTTGGATTCTCACTCTTCCCCAGCAGAAATTCACGTCCAACATAATGAGTTATCTGTTGATCTACCAGTACAAACACATAATACTCCTACTTCAAATAGCCCCTTGAGTACGATAACGCCTAATGAAAACTGTAAAGGTTCCGAACTTATCCCTTCGACTTTTACTGAGAGTTGTCAGTTGTCCATGAAAGATCCTTCCCAACTTGACCTATCGCTCATAGCAAGCGAAGGTTTATTTGAAAACTTGAATTCAATGAATAATTTGTATCAACAACCCCAGTCTGTATCTACATCCAGTCTTCCCAGTACTCCAACTTCTATGTCTGGTAATGGAATGGTAATGACCTCAAGTAACTGTGCTCCTACATGTACGTATAGCTTTGATACTAACCAGACAAATGTATTCACAACTAAATCAAATATGTTCTATGAGTTGTTGCGTAGTAATGATCCTACTATGACCCTGAAACATGTTGCAGACGGTTTACCTAGTGATTTTGTAACATCTAATTCATCTGTTTGTACAGCCATCCCTAATACCTTGGGTTCTGTATGCAACATGATGGACTTTGCTTCTAGCTTCCTTCAAAACGAAATGCTTTCATCCAATTCCTCTTGTATTAATTTTCCACTTGGAACTGCTTCTTTAGCTACTTGTGATAGCTCCACTATCCAAAGGACTGGCTTTCCTGTACAGCCATCCAGTACCACTACTTCCTTTTTGGTTGCTTCGCATTTGATCGATTCTAGTCATTCATCTGTTGTTACTGCTGCAGACTCCACGTTTGATGTTTTGGGCGGTATACTCAATTCTTCTGGTTATGCATCTGTTACAGACGTTAGTCCTGCTGCATTTGCTGCCAACTTCGACATGTCTGGCTTGCCTCCAGATTCCAGTACTCACCATGTCCCCATGGGGCTCGCTAGTTATTTATCTGCTCCTAATCAAGTTACTAACACTCAAGTTCTCAATGACTATCGTACCCAGAATCAACCTGCTCGTGCTGATTCGAATTTGTTATCAACAATTACAAGTACTCCTCAACCGTGGTGGAAACGAAAAAGCAGTTCCGTGTTAAGAAGACGTAAGTTATCCTTCACGTTTTGTATCTCCATATTACAGTTTTTTGACGAAGTAAAATTGACAATCATTTCATGACTCGTCTTTTGATTCAATGTCACTAGGTACGTGACTTCTATTTCTGTTATTATTTTTAAACAAACTATACATTATTCGTTCTTTAAGTCTTTATAATATTTAACCAGTTTATTTCCTTTGAAATAGGTAAACGCCGGAAAAACGAACTTGAAGATTTACAGTCTTGGACAGTTAATTATCCGGTTAGTGGACCCGGCTTATCAAAATCTGCCTCTGAACGCAACAAAGGTCCTGATGAACGGACCTGGGATGATGCAATCGGTTCTTATAGCCAAGTTCTTGGTGAACGTGTTAAAAGACGAAAACGAATGGTTAGACAGGGAGGGAATTTGGATTCAGATTTTGTTTTTGAGCATGATAAAGACTATCCAAAGTAAGTGTGTTTCGTAAAAGTCTGTCGTACTTCAACAATAATCTTTCAGTTATATTGTTCCGGCAATAATTGTATTTTGGTATCATTTAACACTCAAATAATAGATTCATAGTAAATAGCGTTCATCAAATCACGTTAACAGGATGTTCTAAAGTAAAATGTAGTAGTCATTATCATGAAGTATTGTTGCGTCTCAATAATCTGAATATTGCGTGATCATATTATCTACAGTTGGTATCATCTGTTTTGTTGATTATATAGCAGGGAGGCTCAGAGAAAAATTTTGTTATCCATTTGAATCGTGATAATTTAAAATATGCTCCAGATGTTAAAATAGTTTTACTAAAAAATTATTCGTATTAAAGGCCTTGTTCCATTTTACTACTGTTTTTGATAGTTCATCCATTAAAGGAATCCCGTGCATATAGTCCTTACTCTTGGCGAAAAATCGTTTGTTGCGGTTTGTTTGATATATCAAAGGTAAATGTACACTAGGGATACGTGTACGTTACTGTTCCCCACCATACTGAGCTTAATAATCAAAAAGGTAAAATGTCGAAACCATAAACATTTATTTTTTATTCACTTACCCTTCAATTGAGAGGAACCGTTGTTAAACACGTCTGGATACTGAATTGCCGTTCATCTTTTTCAAACCTGTTGTGTGTAAAAATACACCTATTTATCATGTTTGTCATGAAAGAGGGAGAACTTAATGATTAAGTTCCAAGTTAGAAAGAAAACGGTATCAATAATTTTTTCTATATTCGTTTCTCCTGCTTTTAAGTGAGGGAGATAGTGATCGTGGTAGCAATGAACCTAACGGTACAATTGACCTTACAAACGATTCTACTGGAACCAGCGAAACTGCCTACAATATACGCGAAATGCGTTCAGGGGTTGCAAATCGTTCGTATGCTGGTATGGACGAGGAAGACGAGGAAGCGTCGGCAAGTCAAACAGGATGCTCAAATGGCTCTTCAAGTGCTAGAAGACGAAAGAGGCTGGATGATGATGAACCTTTTGAAGGTAAATTCATAGTTGTGCATCGTTACTTTCATTTCTATCTATCGAGTGTGACTAAATGTTTCACTACGTTTCCAGTTCGTTTGTTTTCAATTTTATTGTTGTTGACATACTTTTCTGATGTTGTAATGAATTTCGGGAAACCTGAATTCCTGTTACGTTTTTAGCCTTGCTGACTTGGTGTTAAAAAATTGATTCGAATATGTTAAGTGTTTTCGCTTAAAATTACTGGGTTCTTCACTTTGTCTCTTAGCTAATACTTTTAGTGATGAAATCTACATTATATTATTGCGTTACTTACATGGACCTATCACTTTATAAAGCAACTTAAATATCTTTTTCGTGTTGACTTTCAGTTTGGTTTTTTATTTACAATTATAGTTCGGCTGAAGGAACCCGTTGAAGCACGTTTCCCGCATATACGTAAAGCAGGAGAATCCACGCGTAAACGACGTGAGCGCGTAAATTTCGGAATTACGGCATCAAATAATTTACCCATCCAACGAAATAATTCTAGGGAGCAAGGTGTTGGGGGTGAGACAGGAAGTGTTAAACGATTTCTCAACAAGTTGTCAACTGTTTTAGAATCTATTGAGGAAACAGACTTTTTGAGAAGCCTTGGTGGCGTACCGAACAGTGATGATCAACTACGAAAATCTAATTGTGAAGATGTGATTTCATATCTTGATAAAGAGAGCTTATCGACTGAGACTATAATATCGGCTGAAGACTTGGCAGAATTTTGTCGCGATGCTGCTAAATTAAACTCAATAGGTGTTGCTAATCAAATTCCTACTGGGCAGTTACTTAACTTCCTTACATTGTTGTTGCTCAACATACGAGATGGCGCGAATGTGATTGCCGTATTGAGACCTGTAAGTAGTAGATTCTTTCTTAAAGCTCAGAAGTGTTGACCTCATGAGAATCTTATTGTTTGATATATACCCTATTTTTACTTGATATCGTAATACAATTATTTTAATAGCATCGTATAACAGAATATGAATATTCAGCCCATGGTTTCACTAGGAAAGGGGTTGAATATATACCTTAATTTTACATGTTCTGTTAGTCAAGGTATTTCATGCTGGAAAAGCTATGATGTTTAGACTTTCAAGTCCTGGGATTGTGACTATCAGAATGAGAGTTTACATATGATACAAGTTTGGCTAAAAATATTAGTATGATTTACTGGTCTTTCATGCTGTTGTTTTATATGGCAATTATAATGGGGCTGGTGCTTCACTTTTATTAGCAAGTTCCGAGGCCAAAATCTCCCCTATCTCATTCACAGCTTAACTGCGTAATTGTGATATTATTATGAGTTTTTTTAAATATTATGCAAGTGCGGATATCTAACAGATGTTTTTTGTTTGGTTTTTCCATTATCCCATAAATGATACTTTTTTCTTTACATCATTCCGGCTTTCTTTATTATGATGAATTATTCCAAAATATTCTCCAAACAAATTTATAGGAAGAAGAAGCTGACTCACATGAAAACAAACTATGGAAAGAGGTGGCAATGGAGCGAGTAATGCGGAGTATGAATTCCGGTCTAACTGCGTTATTATTAATGACTTCGAAGGATATGCCCAGGGAAGTTTATGTTGAAGATGTTATAGAGCGTACAGTGTATAGTGTCAGATTTCAATTATTCAATTGCATTTTCCCAGAATTCGATCCTGCTTATCGTGTTGAAAATACAGCTAAAGGTATAGACGTCCTTTAAAATTTAGAATAATCTCTTTCATCAATTATGTTTCTTTTCATTTCATTTGGTGAGTCTTATTCCATGTAGCATCGCAAAACAATGTCTACTTTTTAGTAGTGGTAGAAGAATATGTAAAATAAATGCATCGCTAACGTATGGAGCTTGATTCATAATATGTGGCGTTGTTGGTCTGTATTTTTTGTCTTTATTTTCATGTGCAACGTAAAACCTTATACGTTCACCGGTTCAAGTTGCTACACCACAATAATTCAGTGTGATAAGGTTATTTTAAGACAAATCTCAGGGAAGGGGAAGTAGTGACAGTAACGGTAGCAACAGAAAAATCAAATATAAAATGTGTATAAAGAAATTTCGGTACGCTGTTTTTAGAGGAATACAAATAATGGATGCACCATTGTTAACGATTTTAAAACATATTACTAAAAATTGTTCACCGTTGGCTAAGGTAATCACATGGACCCCGACCTAGCAGTCAACATCTACTAAAATGTCTCAGCCTAGTTGTCATTGACTCCAGTGATTGGTGCCAGGTTTTGTTCTGGTCGACCTTAGCTTTCTTCTAACCTACTCCTACACCAGTCATCATCGCGCGTCGAATTAGTTTGTGGATAAGCATACGTAATACATGCTGTAACCATCTCAGTTCATAACGATTTACTACTTCGACTAATTTGTCGTCTTTTACTGGTAACCTTTCCCTAACTTCGGCATTCGTTGTCCTGTGATCTCACAATTCAGGAGCCACACTTCGAAGACACCTATAGTCAAATACTATTAACCTACAAATATCTCTTTAATCCCCAGCCTGTCAAACCTGATGAGACTTTTAAGATAAGTTAAGCGGTCAGTATGCTCAACTAATTTTTTGTCCTTCACTATTATTGTTGGTTACTTGCTTTATTCTTTTTTAAACCTAAATTATGCTCAGGCTTACTGTTATATAACATCTCGAATTTTAACAATCATCCTATTCTCATCGTGTTCTCATATTTTTTGGACACTAAACAAATGAGTTGAAATAAGATTAAGAGAACTGAAAAACTTTCATGGATATCACTTGAAACAGCAAATTCTGACGACATTTTCCCACTCTTTTAGACCCATCCTGTAATGCTTCAACAAACGATTTTCAGTGACATACTGCCATAAAACTTGTCAATTACATTAACTAAATGGAATCTTCATTCCAATTAATGTGGCCATAGTCAGGGATCTATAAGTATACATGTTCCAAAACCTGTCAAAGGGTAATTATTTGATGTATTTTACTACAACTACTTGGGTTTTGTCGGTCCCCTGTGCTCAGACCTCAGTTTATCGTCGACTGTTATGGAAACCAATATGTTACATGTGTAATAATCAGGCTAATTATTTTGCGGTCGTGTCTGACTATCCACCACAGAAACGAGTTTGATAAGATTATGTGCATCTAAACTGATATTATACTTGGTCAACATTCTTAAAGACTTGAATTTGTGCGTCAAGAATTCCTCTACTTTTTTGAGTTAAAGGTTTGATATTAGTCTTTTATTTACACTGTTTTTGAATAGTGGGCTTCTGTAGAAGTAGCTATAGGTCAGTCGAACTGTTTTTCAGTGTCCAGCTGTCAGCTGTTCTGAGAAAAGATCAAGTTCTATAGATACTAGTGGAGCGCAGCCTGAGCGTTAATCCGACGAAAAAGGGGAAGTAGAATGTCGAATGTAAGTTGTTGATTACTAACAATGGTGATCGCGGTTCCCTTTCATATACGATGACATTTCGAAATCCTATTTCTGTCACCTTCAGTATAATAATTGGCTAATTTTTACTATAGCATGGTTTCGTACACCAACAACTGTCCTGTCAGGCCATCATTACAGTCAATTGCGACATAGTAACTAGTAAGACATGACAATTATATTTATTAGATTATTTGCTTCTACTTTTAAAGATAATTGCTAACCATAATTCTTTCTGTAAGACTGATCGTGATAATTTTACAGTTTGCACCATGTTTTACGCAATGTATTTTGTAGTGCTTTTTACTGTTTTTCTTAAACAAAATAGAAAATCAAAGCAGTATAAAATCTAGACGTGCTCGTGAACGCGATGCTCAAAAACCAAAGTCCATAATTCATCTGTACCACAAGCTAGTGGAAATTGTTTCTAATTTATCTAAGTTGGTAAAAATCCAAAGGCTGACAGACAGCTTGGTCCTTACCTTATCTAGTGTTGGTGTCTCTGTATTCTTTGTTGAAAATGTTAGTGAGTTGCAACTTGCTGCTTTGGAACTCGTCACTGCTATATTCGCCCAATATGAAACTCATAGGAAGCTAATAATGGAGGAAATACTTGCTAGCTTATCCCGTCTTCCATCAAGCAAGAAGAATTTACGTTCTTATCGGTGGGTTTTTCTCTGCCTGAACATTTGACCTTTCTCCTTAAGGTGCTGCATTTTTGAGCTTTCTTAATAACACCACAAGGATAACTAGATACAATCAAACAATAGAAAATCTGTCATGCAAAATAGTGTTGTCAATTATAAGGTAGTAGGGGTTTATGTAGTTCTTATAAAGCAGATTGTTCTTATTATCCAGACTGTAATGTTTTAGTTTGTGTGAAGGTTGTAGTTGTGTCGGAGTATTCAAACTGAGGCAGAAATCAGTAACTCACGTGGGTATCATTAATTATGAATTAATGTGAGGTAAAAATTGTGAAGGTCGACCTTTGGTAATTATATGGGTATATGTCCGACCAAAATTATTTCTACAATTTTATTGAGTATCGGAAACAAAAACTAGAATTGTGAAACATATCTGATCATTTAAATGGTATGGGAATTATACCTTCAACATTCTTAGAATTCCATGAGACATCTGATTAGCAATTTATGTTTCAAAGGCATAATTCGATTTTATTTATTAAGAGGTCATGTAGCAGTACCCATGTTAGTTGAATACAAAGAAATGTTCCTCACTTCCGTGTGCTTAAACTATTGCATCCATGTAAGAATTCATGATAACGAGTCGCTTGCAATAAGTAATCAATATTGTTCACTTTTGTTGTAGAATTTGTTGCTTCTGTTTAGTTAGACACCTAATTTTCAGTCATCGATTTATTTATCAACTATAAGTTGGTAAAACCATCATGATACTTATTTGTAGTTCCAAATAAAAAGTTTTGCTTTTCGTGTTTTTTGATTGTGTGTAAGTGATTCTATGTACTAAAGATCAGCTCCGATTATGAACTGGTATTCTAGTTGATGTATACATCAATAAATATCTAACACCTTTTACGAACAAGAAGGAAAATGGTCACTCAAACAACAATTAACATTAATTACATTAGCTAATAATAAGTAGACAAACTTCTAATGAGCCAATGCAGTGTAAGGGACAATATACAGTAAAGTGATAAGTAGTATAGTTTAAAACATTGGATAAGTGTCAGCTGCTTTTTGTATTAAAACTGATTTGTATATGCTTTAGGGAACCTTTCGATTATATAATTTCAAGTATGTGTGATCTATGGGACAACAGTTATTAACTGGTTTGCAGGTTCATTGACTAGCCTAAATTTATTCCTGTTGTAAATTCAGTTAGCTTTCATGGGTTACATTGACCTTACAGAGTAGCGTCCTATTATTTTCTATTCATGTATTTCCTTACTGTCATGTTTTTTTTGTGGCTACAAACATTGACCTAATTATGCTTTTCATTATGGACAAACTATATTGGATGCATTGTTTTGACCTGTTATCTTTCACGAAATCAATAGTTTAAGTAAATTGTAGTAAAGAAATATTTACTGATGAATTAGTGATAACTGGTCATTAAATTAAAACATTTTCCTACTTAATATTTTATCTTAATTTTGACCGTTTAAACAATAATATTTATCTCACAGGATCACAATGTCGACGAAGTGTCACTGAACCGTTCTTAATAAACTGTTACACCTTACGACTAAGCCCTTTTCAACTCAGTTTACAGTGTTTTATAAAATACTTTGTTTTGTTAATATTGGAAATTTTTATTATTTCAACCTTTTGTAGATTAAATAGTGAAGATAGCATTCAAATGCTTACAGCATTAGCACTTTTGTTGGTTCAGTCGGTTATAAGTCTTCCTGACCCATCACCTCTCAACTCAGAACAAAATACTGTTTTCTATCAGAGCTCAAATGTCTCTGTATCCACTGATGGAGGACTAGTTCAAAAAGCAGATGATGAAGTGACAATTATTAATTCTTATCATAATGCTCTTCGTACAGCCCATACTTTTCTGTTGGTTTTCCTACGCAAGTAAGTAATGCTTAGTTTTTTCGTCTGGTTTAGATGTTTTATCTGAATCTCTCATTAATATAAGTGTCTGTAATTATTTACTGCTCACTGTCAATTTGTTGCATTTTATAAAGTTTTATTTTTTTCTCAATAAATCTAGATCAACAATGAAGGGTGAAGATGATTACCGAATAATTTTTGAAAACTTCGTAAATGACCTTCTTTTAGCTGTTAATAAACCGGAGTGGCCAGCATCAGAGGTTATGCTTAGTCTTCTTGGTAGTTTGTTAGTACAACAGTTCAATAACAAAGCACTTGATCAAAGTGTTCGTGTTGCTAGTGTTGATTACTTGGGAACAGTTGCATCCACATTACGTCGTGATGCAGTAACTAGCCAATTGAAGGAACATGATATTGATGCAGTCATCCGTGAGCTCTTGGAAGGTAATCAGTCAGATGAAGATGAAGAAGATTCTGAAGAAGAGTTAGATACAAAAACTGAGGACAAAGAAATAAATGGCGATCGTGAATCTAGCTCAGAAGTAGATAGAAATAAATCAGAGTCTGATATTCATTCAGTTGGTTCTGCTTCCACTACTGAAACACCAATACGCCATAATGAGAATGGTTATAGTTCGACAAACACTAAGTCTGTAGCCAAAGTTCTTGACACCAAAATTTCTAAAGACAAAGTCATTAAAAATAAAAAGTCAGGAAATAAAGACAAATATACAGATCCTATCTGTCAGTTGGATCGAGTCCAGGCACTACGGGACGCTATTTTAGACTATCTTGCAGCAGAAGAGGCGAGTCCTACGGCAGTTGTAAGTCGTTTTTATATTATATGATTCATTCATCATAGTTTACTTTACATTCTGCATGATCCTGTAGGTCTATGATTAAGTTGAGATTTTGATAGCCACTAATTTGTTCTATATCACAAATTTCACTACCATAAATTGTCATTTCAAGGCATAGATTGACAAAGCAATCAGAAGTTCCAATCGTTATTTTGAATCACACTTAAAATCCATTCTATCTGGCTTTATGAATGTCAGATCGTGAAATATTGACACCATTTGAATCCTGATTACTGTTCTCAACATGCTATTCAAAACCATTGACACTCACCTTCCTTTTAATTTGGATATCATAATACTGTTAATTCACCTGTCACATTTCATTAATGTAGATAAGTAAGATGGAACAGAAAACATTGAGAACAACGATTCAGTGTATATTCAAAGAACGTTTTCAAAAACCACTCAAATACTGGAAGGATTCTCTCAACAAGCCAGTTTTTAATAATAAGGTCTATTGTCTAACGTACAGTTCAAAGTACGGTTTCAACTGACCGGAAATTTGATTTCGTATGCTCAAATGAGCGATTGACACTTTCGTGAGAGACAAGGGGATCGTTCATAGCTGATCTGTCTATCGTAGTAGCATTAACGTCCCAGCTGACACACTTCATTTTGTAATTAGAATAGTTGAGTCTGATTACTATTTCATTCCGACGGCTGCGGTCAGACTGATCACATCGTGTACGTACTTATATATATATATATATATATATATATATATATATATATATAATCCCCAATTTTTATTCTGAATTACAACTTATTAATTACTCATTTTATATTTCAGTATGCTCGTAAATTTTACCTGGCTCAGTGGCTTAATGATTGTACAAAGGAAACAGAACGTGCTCAACGAAGTGCAGTACAGAAGAAAAACCAGAATGCTGTTTTAAATGGCAGTGGTGACACTGTATGTGCTTCCAAAGGTTTTTCTGAGGCAGATCAGGCGCTAATCCTTGCGGTAGCAGAAAGAAGGAGACAACACATTTTGTCAAAAGTACGTGAAGCTCCACAATCTTGGCGACAACGTAGATGTTTATGGAGCAATTCATTGCCTCCTAATGAGAAAACAAAACAGTCTGCAAACATCTGTATTTCTGATTCAAGTCAGGAAACGACGCTCATTTTCCAGGGTACTTTGGACTATGAAGATTGCTGCTTAGTTTGTCGTTATCTTGCCAGTCTTCGGCCATTTTCTCAAAGTTTTGATGTTTATTTGTCTCAGATATGTAAAGTACGTTTTACTACTTTAAGTGGGTTTTACATCAGATTTTGCTATGCAATATACAGCTAATGGATATTTCTAAAATATATGGTAGAAATTAAACTGATTTCTTGTACTACTTGTTAGTGACGTTAATAAAACATGGTAGGATTTCTAAATGTCTCAAACAAGACTAAGTTTTTTTCCATTAATCTGTACGCGCTCTTGAAAAAAACGAACCTTAATAAATAATTCTCTGATTGTAGGTGTCAATACCAAGATTGGACTTGATAATTTCAAGTAATTTGAGGATTGGATAGAAAGTTTCTTAAACTTGTGTTAATTTTATTTCGGTTATTGATTTGCTCTAAAGAAATTGCTTAGATTAAGTCACTAAACTTTAGAAATACAATTTTCTACTGATTGGGATATCACAAAAATGTTTATTAATAATTCTCTGATTAGTCTGAAATTCAGGAACATCGAAGACTAGAATTCATTAGCTAGGATGATTTCATGTAGGAGCTTTTGTTCGGTTATATCTGATGATCCTAAAACTCCTGTATCTATAACCACGTAAAACCGTTGAAAATGGTCAGCAAATATATGTTACGGAGTCATTGCGTAAGTCCTGTTAATGAGTTGACAAATGAGATGAATCTATGTATAGTGAAGACATTTCGGATAATTTCAATTAGGTCCATCTTTGGGGTCGTCGTATTGTTATTCTGCCTGTTAAAGGTGAGAACAGTTCTACTCTTATTTTGTGAAACCTAATCCAAATTAGTCATCAAAGTCACATCAAGTTTTTTACTCCGAAGGGATAAAATTTCACTTTTTACATTAATGAGAACTTTGTAATTCTCAGCATAAATTTCACTGTTCTGTACGTTTCAGTTATTGAGTGAATCATCGGTTGCCGTGCGCACTAAAGCGTTAAGATGTTTATCAGCAGTGGTGGAGGCCGACCCAAATGTTTTAGCTCGCGTAGATATTGAGCGGGCTGTACATTCTCGTCTTCTTGATACATCGACTTCAGTCCGTGAAGCTGCTGTAGATCTACTTGGTCGATTTTTAAGTTGCAGACCAGAGTTGACTGCACAGTATTATCCAATGTTGGCCGAAAGGATACGAGATAAGGGAGTAAGTGTCCGCAAACGCGTCATTCGAATCCTTCGTGACATTTGTCTTGAGCAACCTGATTTTCCAAGAGTTGCTGAAATTTGTGTAAAAATGATTAGACGTGTTAACGATGAAGAAGGAATAAAGGTGATTTGCAATCCTATTGATTTATTACTTTTTTTCTTATTTTGCCTGTTAGATTTTTAAATACTATGTAATGTTTAAATCTTGGTGGATCTTTTCTTACGTATAGCTTTCTGGACTGAGTGCTTATATGTGCTTGAATACAATACATGTGCAACTGTCCGTGTAGTAGTTTTCTTTGATTTACCACATTATGTTAAATTATATCACCAGTCCATTACAATCTGTATTGGTTGTAATAAAATTTGGTTTCTCTACCATTGACTGCAGTTCTCTATTTAATTAGAAGCTCAATACACTTCGATTCTGTTACTTGATATCTTTGTACATTTTTGATTTATCATTTCCGTAACTGTGGCACTTCTCATTAGTATGTGATAACGCGTTACAGAGAACATCTAACCCAATCAAACTATGGTAGTATCATTTTATAACACCATTCTTTGTTCATACGTACCTGGTGTATCATTGTTTATGTCGATTTGAAATCCATATAATTTTAATACGAAATAAGATTTTCGCATAACCCTCTAGATCTTGCTTTATATTACGTCCTGTTGGATATAGTTTCATGGCTCAAGAAGAAATACTCCATTTTGTAAGCGTTAATTTGGTTAAACGTTTATTACTGGTGTTTTGAAGTACTGACATTGCAGTTCGTGAATATTCTGATAGCATCGTTTCTGTTCTACCCTTAGAAACTTGTTCATGAAGTCTTTCAAGCAATGTGGTTTACTCCTGTACGTGAAAGAGAAACAGTAAAGCTACTTCGAAAGGTCATGAATATCACAGATGTCGTTGGCGCTTGCAAAGACACAGGTTATGAATGGTTTGAACAATTTTTACGAACTGTAAGTAATTTTTTGAATAACTCATCCAAATTTTATGATATGTATTAATTACATAATCGTTCATTTTGCTGTGAATGAGACGGAGATATTATTTAGATTAACAGGTAGGAAATGTTTTGTGACTTATCTTTCATTTTCTTGATTCTGATATCCTAAATTATTGACATTAAATTTAGGTCTAACTTACACTAAGAGATGTGTATTATGTATTACACAACTTATTTAACTCATTTTCTTGAATAATGTTTTCATCGATGTTGTATTATTTATAGCTTTTAAAGAAAGAAGAAACTGAAAAAGTCAAACCAGTTGAAAAAGCATGCAAACAAATAGCTGATTGTTTGGTTCAGAATATTATGCGACTAGAAGGTAATGCTACTTGAAACTCAGTATTTATTTCATATAAATTTCCTATTCAAGGAATACAAATCCACATCTTTCCTCAAATTTCATTTTTTCTTTAATGCCGTATCATTTGAACTATGAACATGAAATCTACTTGTCTTTTGTCCAGGTCCTTCCATTAAGCAAATTATGTTCAAGAGAACGACGTAAACTAGAAAGTACTATTCTTAATACAAAGTCACTTGTACTATGGTTTTAAATATGTATCTAAATAACATCGGTATTTGGATGTATCATAAGTAAACAATCACATGACCGTTGCTTCTACATTGATGTGGTGGTTGGGCTCGCCTATCGTGATAAACCAATCGGGTTATACTGACTGGAACAATCGTTCCTATACCAGGCAGGTCGGTTGAGCAGCGCTAAAACTAAAAGCAATAAACCCAGGGTCCGAGGGTAAAGTCGTATTACTGACTGTACAGGGGTGTGGCGGCAATAAGGCTCTTCCTGCAGACGACCAGCTGCCATCCCATAAGATGGGGTTAGAAAATATTGACCCCAAAAATGCACACCTCGTTTTATCCTACGTATATCCGTCTCGAACGATAATGTTCTAATAAATGCGGCATAACATTAAGTATGAGTGCAGACAAGCACTTTTAGAATGGATTTCTATTAACAGTCACTTATGTGTTGTTCGTCTAAACGGCTCCATAACAACTCGGAAGGATAAGGACGCGCGTCGTTGCCTTTTCGACGTTTCTGCCTACGCTCTCAGTGACTGCAGCCCAGATGAAGTGTAAGATGTCTTTTACAGAAAGCCTTCTGAGCTTCTTCATAAAGCTGAACGCTTACACACATAGTACTCGTAGCAGGTGACTTTCATGCCGAAGTAAGTATCTTAATACAAACAGAAAGACATTTAGACGGATATTTTGGTATTCCGGTTCAGCGAACAGATAATGGTGACCGTCTGTTGCAACTGTGCTCAAACAACCGTTCATTGCTAGCAAGCACCAATTTTAAACATAGGGAGACATCATCTATAAAATGACGACCTCCTACACTAAACCAACGACGAACTCAGATAGACCATATTGCCATCAATAATCGTTGGAGAGGCTCGATAGAAGATTATCTCTCGTTCTGAAATACCTGTTTGGACTCGGATCATACTCTAATACGAGCACTCATTTGCTTGCACCTCACTGAATGTACAGAAGTCACATTAAAAAGACCAATTAGGGTTGAACTCAGTGATGAGATAGCCAAATGTAAATTTCAGGAACAACTGAAGTCACACTTAGGCAATTTTGAAGACGAGGCTGACTGAGATGTAGGTTGGAAAGATATACGAACATCTATGGAAACAGCGGCGACATCTGTAAGTGATTTGAACGCAAAACCAGTGAAGTTCTGCGACATCTATTGCACTGATAAACTCTCGTAAACTTATCCCACCAGGCTCCGAACACGATGAATTGCGAAAACAAATCAGATCTAGGCTAACTAAAAGTCTACGAAACGATAGTGAGTAGTGTTGGGCAACGAAAGCAGAACAGATGGGAAAGGCAGCGACTGTGGGTAACACCAGACAGTTTTTCAGACTAATAAAATAAACCAGAATTAAGTCCATTGTGAGACAATCTCAGAAAAAGACGACACTTATCTACTCTCAGTCTAGACATTTAGAAAGTTGGGTGGAACATTTCCAGGAGCAGTTCAGCTGACCTCCAGCTACTCTACAACAACAGCCCACCATTTCCAAACAGCCTTAATGAAACATTAAAATAGGTCCCCTGACTCTAATTGAAGTTCATAAAGCTATAGCTTATCTGAAACGAGGAAGGGCAACTGGTCCAGATAGATGAACTCCAGAGTTCTTGGAGGATGGTGGTCCAGTTTTAAAAATTAGATTGACTAATATTTTAGCTAATATCTGGGAACTAGTCACAGTCTCATCTGATTGGTCTCAATCACCGATTGTCAAAATATATATATAAGAAAGGATCAGAATCATCCTGTGATAACTATAGAGGGATTAGTTTAACTAGTATAGCATCTAAAATACTAGTCTAAATAATTATTGGACACCTAACTAAGACTCGTGAACTGCAAATACGAGAGAATCATGCTGGCTTCAGACCTAATCGTAGCTGCATCAACCTCGTATTCATCATTCGTCATGTTTATCGGCATCGGACAATGGTGTTCTTGAAGTATTCGAACGCGTCGATAACTTCACTTATCTTGGATGTCTGATCAGGCCCAATGAGTTAGTGTCTGACGAAATCTCTTCACCGGTTCAAAAAACTCGTTTTGTTTTTGCCAACTTACGTCACCTATGGCGAAGGTGAAATATCCGTCTATCAATTATAGGACAAGTATACTGCATAGCAGTTCTTTGTTTTCTACTTTACGGCTGCGAAAAGTGGCCATTAAGTTAGAAGATACCCGTAAGCTACTAGTATTTGGTCACAGGTATCTTAGAAATATTGCTCTCATCTGCTGAGATCAGTGGGTAAGTAATAGTGAGGTTAGACGCAGGGTATTACGGAATGATGGTAAATCAGTTGGTGAGATTGTGAATCTTCATCGGCTGAGATGGTTGGGCCAGTCAGTCAGTAACAAAGTAGAACTTCGTACGTACGTACATCAGTTCGAGTTGCCATATTACATTAGCACAGAGATGCAGTTGTCGATTCAAATCCCGTTGTGGTAGAGGTAGTAAGAGTATAAGCAGTAATCGGAAAAATTAGGGTTTGAAGATGTTATTCAACGAGTATAATCCAGGAAAATAAATTTGGAAAGAGAAGTTCAACCCCTGGGAATTTAGATGAGGAAAGTGTTATCTCTAAAAGCACATCAACGACAAAGTTAAGAAAGAATAGAGAGAGTGGAAAGCCCTGACGAACACCACTTGAGGTAATCAATTCTGATGACACTACGCTGTAAGCTCTCACTCGACCAGTTGCGGGATAGTTTTCGGAAGTTAAACGCTCCTACATTTAATTTAAAGCGTGGTTTCAGGAGACCAAGAATAACGTTTCGCGTAATCGAATCATTTTCACTAGAGGTACGGGGTGATAAAGGAACGAGAGAAGGGCTAGTCGAGGAGATAAGAGAGTTGTTAGGAAGTGTAGGAAAGATTTGATCGTGACCAACTTGGTCTCGTGTTCTGTTACGGGTATAAAGGCTGATGTCACTTCCCGGCTGCCCACACCGTGTTATGTATGCTTGAACAGGACGCGCAATACTGACTAGTGTTTGAGACAGTTGGATGAAAGTTGGGGGCGGCCAAACCAAACTGAAGTCAATAATTTCTGGTCTGAGCCATTTTTGTAAATGCAGACTACTTGTTTGTGGTTCACGCGACTCTCTTAACCAATGGTTGAAGACTCTGGGTTACATCGCTCAATTGCGTCGCTGTATACACCCTTTGTCTTCTAAACCGTGAGATTAAAATTACCTTATACCTCTGTATCATATATGAAATTTTTTTACTACTATTGAAGTAACTACTTTATGAATTTAGTGTTCGTCTTGTTGTGCTAATGAAATGTGGCAACTTGGACCTTTGCATATATTTGCGTGCTTCTATGTTGTCACTGATTGACTAACAAGTAAACAATCATGATATGTGGTGTATGTTTTCTCAACACTGTTACCCAAGGGTTGTTTTTACTTTTCTAATCTACCGTCATACAATAGTGAAAGCATTATTATTAAATGATTCTTCTACTTCACGTATAGTACTGGATATATATTTTCTATCAGAGGGTGAGTATATTGCGAAACAGTTCTCTCACTACTACTAAGGTATTAACATAAAGGTGGAAGATTTATGTACATAATATATCTTCCTGGCATTGATAATGTTTTAAACCTATTGAGGAAGTACTTTTTCTGTATCATGTCTTAAGCAAGCTAGACATGTTAGTCGATGATGTTGTGAACTATCGTCTATTAAGTCGACAAGTTTGTGTATATGCTCAGCTATCGTTTTCCCTGTTTTCAATGCTGTGTGGGATAACAGTATATTAGAAAACTTCTAAAAATGATCCAATCAAAACATATCGCTATTTTATATAGTCCTATGTTTTATAATCTATGACTTATTGGAAAGCACTAAGTTGTTAGTGGCTAAATCGCTTGGGTTCCAACCATTAATTCGCATGCTCAACCTCGGCTTCACTTATTCTGATATGAAGGACCCTCTCAAAAAGTGTTGTAACCTCTAACTCTGGATTGCATGGTTGTAATCCTAGATATATGCTAAATCAGTAGTTAAAAATTATTGGTGATATTATTCAACATTTATTACAATGATTGGAAACAATCTCTTTAAATTCTAATTGTTGATCATTTTGTCGCCCATCATTTATTTCCCCTTATTAAATTGCTTCTCGGCTTGTTTTCTTACTATATTTTGTTATTGCCCATGAATACCTACAATGGCAATTTTTTCTCTATCCCCTATTAGAAACGAATGTAAAGTTTTCTTAGCATCCTCTGCAATCTACTTACGAAAGCGTCTTATAATTATTTGAATATTGGGTTTCCTTAACTATTTGTCAATTTTCACTGTTTGTTTTTCAGAAAGATATTTATGATATTATATCTTTGATCAGTGACTGTTATCGGCTTGTTATTACTCACAAGTGTTTCACAGCTATATATTTTTGTGCCGGATAGCAGTTTACTTAGCGATACAGGAATAGTGTCTAATTCTCCATTATTTTCTTTAATGATCCATTTTTTAACAGTGGGTTAAATTTATCGTTCACTTTTTTACTTGGTGGAACAGATCTGGATTTCAGAACCATGAATCAAGTCACTAGTACTCACTAAATGTTGGTGAAGAATAAACTGTTATCTGAATAAAAGTCTAATTAAGATAATATTCATGAAAGAAAGCGTATTAATTACTAGTCTTTTCGAAAAGTACGACATTGTTTATAATTTTCTGCGTATCTTTTTGGTCTTTCAGAAATTTCAAGTCAAAGCAATCAGAGATTAGTAGCGTGCTTGGCAACACTTCATTTATTAACAAAAATCAGACCGGAATTAATGGTTCAGTATACAATGGTACTACAACCCTATTTGTCCATTCGTTGTAATGAAGCATCAGATGCTCATGTGTTACATTATGTTGCTAGAATTCTAGAAGCCACATTGCCTTTGATGGAACATCCTAGTGAGACACTAGTTGCACAACTTGAAGAGGATATGGTTCGTTTAACACTGCGACATGGAAAAATGGTACTTGAGTCATGTGTTGCGTGTTTAGGTGCAGTTGTCAATCGTGTTTCGAAAAACTATTCTCTAGCTAGAGATTGTTTCACTCGGTTTTTCAATGCTCTTCAGAAATTTCGTAGTGAACTGTCCAATGATTCTGAACGCAAAATATCCCCAACTATTCGCCCTTCTATTCTTCGAGCTCTATTTACTGTAGGTTTACTTTGCAAACACTTTGATGCGGATGTATTTCGATCAAGCAAAAACGTGAGTTATTAAGTAATGTATGTAGTGTTTTTTCATCGAAAGTATTTTGGTTGAATTTATAGTTTGGGATTTTGATGCTTTATTTCTTATCTGTAATTTCATATTTATAAATGGATTAAGTAATGAAAAATAATATCTTTAAACTTGTCTTGCTTTTTTTATGTAGGCGAATATTCGTGATCAGGTATTTGAAACACTTATGTTTTTCACAGAACAAGTTAAATCAGACATCGAAATGCGTAAGAAAGCTTTATCAGGACTAGGTTTTTTGTGTACTCGTCATCACGAACTACTTTGCGGTCCTCGTCTTTGTAAATTTTACCATGATCTTTTACAAGCTCCTTGTGATGAAGCAAAACCTAAACCATCTGACCATCACTTAGAATTAAAGTGTATTGTGCTGGAAAATTTGTTAAACTTTTTTCTTGAGGAAGAAAAACGCATGCTAGAAGCGGATGCAAAATGTAAGTAATAATTTTTATGCGCTCCATTTAGACATTTATGTAGTCATTTCAAAACTTGTTTCAGCTGTTTAAAAATGTGCTAAACATATTATTTTTGGATGTTTGTTATGATCTGGTTTTATAAACCACTTTTCTATTATTCGATAAAGAAAAATATTTGTCTCTACAGTTCACCATCTTGGACAGTTTCTTCATTCTTCCTAAGCTATAACAGCGACATTTTCCGTCGGAACAATTTCATGAATACAAAAGTCTTTAACTAACCATTGTATTGTCTACTGCTGACCTTTAATTAAGAATAACCTACAGACATAGATATGCTTATTGCTGATTTAAATAGTAATTTCATTACTTCATATCTCTTGCCAACCCTCAGTGAATTTAAGACGATACAATGAATCTTATGCAGATAAGTCGTGAACATGAATCGTAATCAGCCAACACCTGAAAGATTTTGTAATTAATTTGTCGGACAACTTTATATCTAGTCCTCAATATTAACTGGTACATCAAATCTATCAATCACCCTCCTATTCCTCTCTATTCAGTAAGTCAGAAATTTTCAACTGAGATTGTTATCAGTCTAGTAAAGTAGACGAAATTGAACTACATCTTTTATATATGAATGTACTTGCTATCGCCGTAGATAAGATAATTAAATACTTCAATAGAACTAAGAGCAAGTTAGTGTTACTGGATGACAAAAGGTGGTTAGGACGAGGAGTTACATTTGCCGAAATTGCTAGGGCCGAAACGACATTCAAGTTTTAGACAAGTCAGTACTTTTTTTAGTTTATTCCATTTATCTGACTTAGATTTGTGTACTTAACATCTATGCCATATTCTACTCTTCTAGTTATTTTTCACTCATATATTCTTCAGGTTAGTTTCGTCCATCACAATCTGTGTAATATTGTAATCCTTTTAATTCTACGAATGCACCATTCTGTCATATTGCCCCTAACTTTGTGCCTCAATGATTCAGAATATTCGTGATAAAATTATGTTGATTTCTATGTTGCAGGGAAGGCTAGTCAACATCAAGAATCATTAAAAGAAATGGGCGATATTGCTTCAGGTATGGGTAGTTCAGTTGCGCAAATGTATCTCAAAGATATACTGGAATCATTTTTTTCGCCATTTTTTACGGTGAGACTAACTGCCCTCTCTGTCATAACTACAATTCTTCGTCAAGGTCTTGTTCATCCAGTCCAAACTGTACCCTACTTGATAGCCATGCAGTCCGATATTGATCCAAATATTCGTATCAAAGCTGATGCTCAACTCCAGGAAATAGACACCAAATTTCCAGGTTTTCTAACAGTAAGTACGATGTCTTGATTTGCTTATTTTTCCCGTATGCTTGTTATAATTTTACTGATTTTATTTGACTTTTTTTCACAGATGCGAGCTGCACAAGGTGTCAACTTATCATATCGCCTTCAGCTTGTTTTATATAATGAGTTACGTGAAAAGCTGAAAGGTACTTCTGAGGGACCTTCTCTTCAGCAAATAGGTTCACCTGAATCTTCAAATTTCCACAAGTCCACTCATTCTATTAATCCTACACGTCGAACTACCCGTAATAGATCTGAGGTTGATTGTTTGGGCTCAGATGAGAATCCTAAGTGTTCACCATCTACAAATGTTTCCGAATCTCAGTCACTTCTCAATATTCCAGAAGATTCTTTTGGTGCTATTCGCGGTACTAGAGATCCTTTCAGTGAAGTCCCTTCTGCTATGAATTCGCATCTATATTCGATGCTTAGAAACAATAAGAGTCAACGCCGTTCTCTACTTAATGGCTTAATATCATTATTCGATGACTCACAGGTTCGTATTTATTTATTTTATGTAATTGTTTACTACTTTCGTCATTTGTAACTTTTAAAATTGACAATAGTCTATCCACTCCAAGCAACTGATTCTTAAACAGTATGTTGAGCTTTTGCGAAAAGTTCTTTGATATCCACTAACCATGAACTGTATTTGATTAATCTTCAAAGTGAGTTGTAAAACTATTACTGGATTTTCTTTCTTGGTGGATGTGGATTTTGAAGTCATTCCCTGAGTTCAACTCATGTACATATAGAAAAGTTGCATTGTGTTGTCTATGAGACTATGTTCGTTTATACGCCATTGGTTTTTACTAAACAAATTTCTGTTTTTACACATTTCCTCAGTTTTTCATCTGAGATTCATTTGCGGTATCATTATCTATCATCCGAAAAATTAGATCTTCCGTTGTCATATAACTGCACTGTTAGTTATCAAGGTAACTGGCTAAAACAAATGTATATTACCAATACACTTGTATTTTAGTCTGCTTTGTTGTGGTAGACAATTTGTTTTGACATTCATTGTAGGAATGTTTAACAATACATTTAGAATCTAATTGAATTCCTTTTTTATTATAGAAGATTCCTCTGAGTCAGTTAGTATATGTTGCTGATAATCTGGCTCATTTTCCTTATCAATCGCAAGAGGAACCTCTGTTTGTTGTGCATCACATAGACTTGATGGTTAGTATGGCTGGTTCGGGAGTTTTGAAAAATGTTCGTGAGGCACTTTTCCCAGAACTAAAAGCAGCTCTAGAGGCTGTTGTTGCTGCTCAACTTGAGACAGATGCGAAAAACCGTGCACAAATGGAGCTGCAATTGAGTGCTGAACTTCAGGCTCAACAAGTTGCCTCAGCTGATGCCATTAGTAGAGGTGATCATGAAACAGCTGGATTACTTGCCGATCAAATTCAACACACTATTCAAAGAATAAACAGTTTAAATTCCTCTGAACCTTCTATTATGTCCAGTAACGCAACTCTGTCTGAATTCCCTTCTGGGGCTCTCATTGGAACAGAGGGTAAGTGTCTTTTCCATTTTAGCTTACTAATTATCAGCTGTCATCTCCAATGTTTACTATTGAAAAAATAATAAATTACGTTCGAGGGGCTTGATAACTATTTATTTTTTTCTGATTTTCAAATCATTTTCTATCCCTCTCATAGGTGTTTCTCGAGTTGATATGGGTCCTTTCGAAATAGAAGAGGAGGAGGATCCGATTGCGTTATTTGATAGATTGTCTAAGACTCGCCAAACATCTTTACCAATAGTCCGCGACGCAATCCGTACCAGTCGCGCTTGTGTTTTATTGCTGACACTCAAACAATTTCTAAAAGAATCTTATTCCATCACTGACGGGTAAGTTTTTTTGGGTTCAATGATCTCATGTTTGAATCTAAAAAGGATTAATATTCTGTAACTGATATTTTCCGGAAATCGTTAGTTTCTGTTTTCAGAATCAATTTTATGAAAGCTATGGCACTAATATTTTACTGCGAAAAGTTGCTTGATTATCGAATAAACTTTGCATATAGAAAGCTAAAATGTATCATTTTGCTTGATGTGAGTAAATATTGAACCACAAATTATTGAGTAGAGAAAATAAAAGTATTTCCACACAATGCAAAGTCGTTACCATTTTGAAATCATCAATATTGATCATGATACAATTGTCGGTTCCTCACAGCTTCGTTTTTGTGTGCTAAGAATCATAATTTTTAGTACATACAGATTACTGAAAAGAGTCTTGTAAAACCCTGTTAGCAAAAGTAGTTTCATTATTCAAAAGTCAACCTAACAAGAAAGTAGTACTATGGTTATTCGAAATAGTAAAATCTGTATAGAATGTCGCATTTTTGAAGAAACGACCAAATTAGGAATGCTAATGTCTTACGTAAAATTCTCTCAGTAAAGGAGCGCGTAATTCGATTCCTTATCATCTGAACTAGTTAACATTTATTTATTTAAACACATAAATATTGGTATAAGGAGGCACTCAATAGATATGCGCCACATTTAATCGTTTGATATATGTAAGGGCTGGGATACTGCCCCGGTGCACAAACGGAAGCAAGTGGTTTACTCAGTGGACCTCTCCCCGAGCCCTTGATCTAAAGGTCTAATCCACAAGGCAGTGGAGCAACGTTAGAAGATTCAGCTTCATGGTAGCCGGTGATTAACAATAGGCTCATACGCCTTTTGTTCCCTGGAGCCTATGTGTACCATTGGTTTGGAATCAGGGTTTTCCAACCGACCTAGGTGAATCCTCCGTATCCATCAACCCGGACATTTTCTTATTGTCCCCTCAATTTCTTAAACAACATCCTTGTCGTCAGAAGGCAGTGAATAGGACTTCCCTGGCAGTGGTTGTATACGCGTGGCCATGTGAGAGCATTTCGAGAGGGAAAGTTGATTCTTCCCACTCTCAGTTGTAACAGGGCATTTGGGAGTATGACTTTGCCTGTCAATCATAATGCGCATAATTTTATCATAGTCAAACTACGCCCTTAAATAAAAGCAGAAAATAATCTGGTTTCTGTCACCCAAAGATAATCTAAGAAGCAAACGATCAGGAATTCAAAATACTTGTTTTCAAATCCAAACTCATCCCCTCATTTTGTCTTTTTCAGATATACATGTGTTCTCTTTTGATTAGGAGTTGTGCCAGTTTCGTTGGATTAAGATCTCATGCTTACGTGTTGTTACCTCACATTTATATTCGATAATGCTTTATATATATATATATATATATATATATATATATATATATCATTTCCACATTTCCTCCTTTCTATTCCAGTAAAATCCAACGTTACTCTCCTTCTGATTCAGCCAAATTATGGGAGAAGCCGTTAACACGACGTGTCGGTGTTCATTTTCATCCAATACCTTGTTTAAAAGCTGCCGGAATGGAGATAAATAAATCTGATTCTCATATTCTATGCAATTCGCAATCATCAGTTAGGACAGATAGTTGTGTGGAGTTATCCAATCCTAATGTCAAGCAAGCAGATAGTGAAGAAGAAACGATAAGTGAAATGCAATCTCTCATCCGAGATTACTTAGACTTCCGGAAGTTGATTCTTACGATTGATCCTCCAGGAGAAGAAGAACTAGGACCTGATGACTTGAATACATCAGTGCAGTCCGGTGGGCCTACTGTTGATGATCGATTAAATACAGTTTCAGGTAGCATTTATAATTCTGCTTACGTATATTCATTCAAATTTTTATATCTGTACTTAATGAATAAGTTACTTTTACTATTAGTGATTTAAATATATTATCAACTTATTATATTAACCACTTTTTATACTTCCAGATAGTACACAGTTGAGTAAAGGCCGATCTGTAAGAACGTTAGTACCACAATTGCACAATAAATCTTCGGAAGATGACAATGATTCGGAAGATTCAAATGTTAGTGATTTTTTATATTCCTTTAATGCAATTGTTTTTCATTCTCATATAATAAGAGCTCCGTCTCATATTTAATTTGTTTTGATTTGTGGTAAAATATGTACATATAGTTATGCTTGTATTAACGTATGATAAATATATTGTGTGTGATTATTTCACTTCATTAAAACAAATTATTAAGAAATTATAGTAACTTCATTTGTTTTCATTTTGAATTCCAGGCAGGTGGTGCTTCTCGACTTATGTTGGCACAATCAGCTCCTACAAAAAAACGAAAACCAGCTCTCAATCTACGTGGCAATTCGAAAAATCCGTTAGGTCGAAATGCCAAGAATAAGCGCAAACGTCGAAAACGATGCATAGTAATTGAATTTCTTTTTAATAAACTTTGATTTTTCTTACATGAAAGTTTCTAAGGCATAATTTCAGTTTGAATCTTCAAATAATCCTTTCATCTTAATGTTTAAATCAGCAAACAAGGAATCATATGTTCTATTGAAAATGTTTCTTCTATACAACTGTATTTTTACGACACATAATTTTGCAAATTTTGCCTCGTGTTGGTAGAGTAAAACACAAATGTTCGCTTGAAAAAGCTAAACGAAATTCAGTAAATAATCTTACTGTAATTACGCCAAATTATTCTGCGCAGTTTACTAGCTCCAGTTGTATTTTCTTTTTAGTTACACCTTAATTTATAAGGTGTGTTTCTGTGCTGTAGATATATACGAATAGTATGCTTCATAGCAACAACTTACGCAATATTTAACCGAGTTATTCTAATTCCTTGTAAGGACTCATTTTCTTTCTTTTACAAACATTGTGAAACTTAATTATACATTGATCTCAAGAAAAAAGTCAATAAATATCTGTTAAGCAAAGAGTTCTATACTTGAAAAAAAATATAAAGTATTATTACTATTTATTGTTGTGATCAGACATTTTAACTTAAAACTATTCAATAGTTGATAAATCTAATTCTTGACCTAAACTTGTATTTCTAATGTTTTTTTAAACCTAGATGGCGGCCAGTTCTAGTGGTGAAGAAAGTGATTCAGCAGACGAATCTGAACCATCTGATCCAGATTACTGATCTTACTTAACCTTTTCCCTGACGTAATATGTTCTAAAACGCTTGGCTGTAAAACGTCGCTGCGCCATATTTTGTGTTTAAGTCAAAATTTCGCAAAATGTGCATTATGGTGTGTTTATAATACTGATGTCCTACCTAAAGAATGGAACAAAAACCAATATCATCAGGTTTCTTAAACAATTCTATATTTGTTGAATAATCTACTGACTTATTTGTCAACTCAAGCCTAATTTTTGTACTAAAGATTTTTTTCTTCGATAGTCATTCACTCTTCTTTTTCACTCATATGGCAGCTTATCTACTGGTTATATTTAATTGTCTATATGGAAGCAATGTATGCTTAAATATCTGGCTGAAGTTTTATCGTACTGTTCTAATGTAATTACGTAAACCTACTTTGTTTTTAAAGTGTTCAGATCTCATTAATTACATCGGATTATATCATAGTTGAATTCTTCTTGTTGAAAGTCCAGTCGATTTACGCTAGAATCACATTCCCCAAAATAATAACTCATCATTATTTTCTGGGTTAATGTTTCCCTACTACTTGAGAAACATTTGATATATTATATCCGAAAGTATAATTTATGTGTTATTTTTTGCGATAACATCTAAATTTTGACTTCTGTACATTTATATTTCATATTAAAGTTTCATTGACGGCATGATTTTCTTTATTCTCTTTTTACATAATCACTAATTTGTTTGTAACTCTGTCTATAGTGGTATGTTGTAGAAATTTCAATTTTGTACATATTTATATATACATATATGTATATGTATATTATTTTCTTAAGATTTATAATAATTAATTACTAGCACCGCCTATTCTATAAATTTCGTTGTATTGTTTTTTTTCTTTTCACAATTTATCCATCAATGAATGGTTTAATTTGCTTGGGAAATGTTTCATCATCCTCACTAACCTGTATTAAAACACTATCTTTTTGTATATAACATATTTCTGTATGTTCGTTTGCATTACTCCATTCTCTTATGAATGACTTATCTTTCATATTTTCCTTTTTTGTGTATACTTTAATCGTCCACTGAATAGGTGTGCTCTATCGACTAGCTATTAATAGTCTTTCTTTGTTTTAAACAGCAGTAGTGCTGTTATGTAATGAATTTTTCGTTCAACACTTTAATTCGTCTGTGTATATTTTTTTCTCAGCAATCATTATTCTGATACTCGTTTGCCTATTGTGTATATGTGTTTGTCTGTGAGACTAAGAGTCTGATTAAATTCTATCTTAATTTTGCTTTGTTTTCATGAATAATCATGTTTAAAATTTATAATCAACCAAAAGAATTGTTTCTTTCATCGTTAGTTTTATTTAGTTCCACTCATTATTTAGAAAACTTATTTTGTTCTTAAAGGGGTAATGATTTGTTTTTCACTTATTCGGACTCAATTACCCTCTTCTTATATCTGGGATTTTAATTTCAAAAATGTGGGTCATTTTGGTATATATGAGTCGGCAGTCCCTGATAAGATCTTGATAAACAAGAGAGTTCTAGGTTATCTTCAATGCACCTTCATTGTAATCTGCTGGACAGTAATCATTTAAACGATTCTATGACTTCCGATTTTTATTACTGATTAGTGCACATCCCCTTATCTCTAAAAATGTTTTGGGTGCATGTGGGCGATCATCTTTGGATATGAAATGTATTCAAATGTCCTGACCCGATCGTTACAACAAATACAAGTCACCCTCTTTATAATACGGTTTAGCTTATACCATATATGTCCTGTCTGTTGGTTATTTCAAATTGTCAACCATCTTCATCGCACCATTCATTGTCCAGAGAATTCACTCAATTCTACCTGTTTCGCTATTGTATTACAAGGGATAGTCCGATAAATTAGTGGGAACTATAAGATATTAAACACCATTACTCCTTCCATCTTAAGATATAATTGTGTTCATTTGACTAAGGGTTTTAAAACGCCAAACGAGTGTTGGTGATATCATCCAGTAACGTCCATATGAGCCCCAGAAGGACTTCAAAGGATAACTCATTTGCTTTTCAACTGATTAACACTATCACGTTAATTCTGAATGATCTACTAGCAATACGTATAAAAGCCCAGAAATATGGCCTCAGAAACCTGTGCATATTATAAACATTGCTTTGCTGGAACTTTCTCAGGTTTTCGGCGGTACTGCATGCGGTTCATCTAATTGTTTACTCAAAGGATCCATCTTTGATTAGAATGCAGTTACCAGCAACGGACTTAATATAAGCAGTATCTGAGTGCTTGGAATAGATTGACATGGTTTTGTCCATCGTAGTGTTAGTCTGGTAACTTTTCCATAGGCATTTGCAATACAGAGAAATCTTTGGTCTAGCCGTCTGAGCTTTACAGATGATGGTCAGTCCTGTTAAATGTACTTAGTTATTTGCTTCATCTTGTTAGCCCCGCCATTTACCAGAATGATAGAGAACCGCTTAAGACGGGACTTAGCAAGCGTAATTTGTCCGGATGCCCACCGTTTGATTAAAAGTATGTCCAAAATCACATCGTCAATACTGTGCGTCAAAACCTTATGCCAGTAAGATTACTTCCCAGTGCAGAGTCCGGATGCCTCTTATTTGGGACCAAAGACTGTTAGTTAGGATTTGTAATCTAAGTTGTCTACCCTACATTATTTTCCAAATTACATTGACGGTCAGCATTTTAAATGCGTGCACCAGTGCCTTCTCGGTTACGTTAACGAATCGGTTTAAGATTACTATCACTATAGAGTGGCTGCATTTGGAAATGGCATCTTAGGATCGCATCAGTTCATTACCCGAAAAGCAAAAACAGTGGTTTTTCCCACTGATTTCACTACTGACCTTGTAAAATCGCAAATACATATATGTGATGTATAATAGTAGTGCTATTCCTATGAAGACATTACGGGGTGGTTAAGAAACTACAGATCAATAGGTCTAACAACATAATAAGATAAATCTGAAGATGAACAGAAAGGACAGAGGGAATAAATCGACAGAGTCACTAGAGAACGGTGACGGTTCGCAAACAGAGATGCTAAAACTATCGTAGGAGAAACTGATGAATAGAATTTTCCGCGCATATGGTTTGAGCCCCTTTTACGTACGTCGATGGTTTCATCAATAGTAAGACGAATAATCACTGTCTGATAAGTTTCATTTTAACTTGTTGATGGTTAGAGTACGTCTGTTTAGTTCAATGGACATTGTTTACAATCTACTGTCTGTTCAACCATGCAGGATAAAACACGGATCGAACGACTGATATACGAAAGAATGTCAGATGAATCATCAGTAGTATTAACATCTGAATCAATATTTTAAGGTTTCAAATTACTGTCGAGAAATTGGCTTGCAATAATCAGTACTCAAAATTAAGACTTAAAAAAAGGAACCGAAATAATGGGTTATAAACAGGGGAATAAATGAAAATGGGTAAATTTGGAAGCCATACATATATTTAATATGAATTCATTAGGACTAATTTATAGTTTTTAGCCTTCAGTTGAATCCATTAACTGTCATATTTTTTCCATAAGTCAGTGAAAGCCAGTAATAAGCCTATTACCGAAATTTAGTAACAAAAGATCCTAATTTTATACATACTGTAACCTGTTATTCATAATGTGCTGTGTTGAGTTAGCGACATCAGTGAGAGCGGAAAATACAGTAAAAAAGTACTTGTGAACACTCACTGACCTTCTGTTCTAATAGGTTTAGGAATTCGTATTTCCCGTCGATTATGTGAAAGGATAAATTAGAAGAATCGCATATATTTATTGAGACTGCCATAGAAAATGCATATGAATAAAACTGCATTACTGTTTTGTGGAAAGGTAAGGTCGGCCCCAATGAATCCACCGGACATCGAAGCAGCACACACAGATCTCCCTACAGATGTCAATCCACCAACTACCGAAGAAATCAGAATGGCCATCAGACAAATCAAGAGCGGGAAAGCAGCAGGACCCGACAATATACCAGCTGAAGCACTGAAGTCAGACATCGAAGTAACTACGAACATGCTTCATCTTCTATTCAAGAAGATTTGGGAAGAGGAACAAGTGCCGATGGACTGAAAGGAAGGACACCTCATCAAGATTTCAAAGAAAGGAGACCTGAGCAAGTGTGAGAACTACAGAGGCATTACACTACTGTCAATACCAGGAAGTCTAACAGAGTGTTACTGAACAGGATGAAAGACACAGTAGACGCTGAACTTTGAGATCAACAAGCTGTATTCCGTAAGGACCGGTAGTGCACAGACTGAATTGCGACACTACGGATCATCGTCGAACAATCAATCGAATAGAACTCGTCATTGTATATCAACTTCATTGATTATGAGAAGGCATTTGACAGTGTAGATAAGAGAACGTTATGGAAAATTCTTCGACACTATGGAGTTCCTGAGAAGATTGTCAACATTACCCGGAACTCATACGACGGACTACAGTGCAAAGTAGTGCATGGAGGACAGCTGACAGATGCATTCCAAGTGAGGACCGGAGTCAGACAAGGCTGTCTACTCTCTCCCTTTCTCTTTCTTCTGGTGGTTGACTGGATTATGAAGACCTCGACATCTGAGGGAAAACACGGCATACAATGGACAGCTCAGAATCAATCAGACGATTTAGACTTCGCAGATGACCTAGCCCTCCTATCGCATACACACGAACAAATGCAGACAAAGACAGCCAACATATCAGCAGTCTCTGCATCAGTAGGCCTAAAAATACACAAAGGGAAAACCAAGGTCCTCAAACACAACACGGAGAACAGCAGTCCAATCACTCTTGATGGTGAAACTCTGGAAGATGTGGAATCCTTCACATACCTGGGAAGCATCGTCGATAAACAAGGAGGTTCAGATGCAGACGTCAAGGCGAGGATTGGAGAAGCAAGGGCCTCATATTCCTTCAATTAAGAAACATATGGAACTCAAAACAACTTTCAACCAATATCAAAGTCACAATCTTCAATACGAACGTCAAGGCAGTTCTACTGTACGGAGCTGAAGCTTGCAGAGCTACTACAACCACCATCAAAAATGTACGAGTATTTATAAATAGTTGTCTACGCAAGATACTCAATATCCGTTGACTGGATACCATCAGCAACAGCCTTTTGTGAGAGAGAACCAACCAGCTTCCAGCTGAAATGGAAGTTAGAAAACGACGTTGGAAATGGATAGGACGTACATTGAGGAAATCATCAAACTGCATTACGAGACAAGCGCTAACTTGGAATCCTGAAGGGAAGGCCAAAGAACACATTACGTCGGGAAATAGAAGCGGATATGAAAGGGATGAATAAGAAGTGGAAAGAGCTGAAAAGGATTGCCCAGGACAGGGTTGGATGGAGAATGCTGGTGAGCGGCCTATGCTCCTTCACGAGGAGTAACAGGCGAAAGTAAGTAAGACTTACGATCCATCCATTATAACAAATCTTTACGTTTTGAACTTTTTTTGGATTCGCTAGCATGGAATATTTGGAATTTCAGTTCATAAAATTATAGATTACTTTTAAGTTAAGTGCTGATCCCATCAATAAATGTTACGATATTATGAAATCCAGGTTTATAACTTTTTTTAACTGATTGTAGTGGCTTATCTTCGCTAATCGATCACTTCGATGACCGCTATAATATAAATCTCAACGATTATTAAAACCAGAAGGCAATGAGAAGCGGCAACTGCAGTTTATTGGCGGATAACGCAAATCACAAAGCCATAAGCACATAGAGCGAATCTGAAGTGGAGAGGCGAATAAGTATATACGAGCAAATAAGGAGGCAAATTTATAAGGACGCGGAAAGGACTAATAATGGGATTTGAGTACATTATATATGGGGAGGAGGATGAATCATCGAGTGATACTTAAGCAACCAACATTTTAGCTACTCTGACATGTGCTCCAGTGACCATAACGGTACAAAGAAACATGCGAATTGCTACAGTTCTAATAAGATTGTCTATTAAGTGAGTTAATAAAAGGGCTTAACCAAAATTAACCATAATCGAATTTTGCTGTAGGTTAGCTGCCATATGATTTTAAACCAATCGAAATAAGGTGAAAACTACTATAGAGATTTTTAAAGTATGTATATATTTAGTTAAGCATATATTATACAGCAGAATATTCATTAGAGAAAGTATCTGAAGAAAAATGATTGGAATATGGAATCAGAAATCCTGTGGAATCATATACAGGACCATTTATCTGAGGTTGAGGGGCTGCTACTACCGGCGGGAACGACATGTTGTTCATATCTACAAAATTGAAAGTAAGCAAAAATAGCGTTAATCACATATGAATCGCTCAAATAAATCCCTGGCAATTTATTGGATCTACTGACCGTCGACATAAAGTTGATATAACCGTGTTCTAACTGATGTACAACTGCCAAAAGACTTACTAAAAAATACTAGTGAGAACACAGTTGAACAAGACACGTTAGAAATAAGGCCACTGGTCATTAACAACACTGGATAAAGAAAAGACATAGAATTAGATCCGAAAATAGATTGCTGGATATCGACTCAGTTGTGTTGCATCGTGCTCACTCCAAGACCTGAAGGTCTTGGGTTCAATCTCGTATGGTGTTGACAGTGTATTTATCTAACACGAGGATAAACCAGAGGTTGGTATTTGTCTTTTAATAACTGTATAGCTTATGTTAGTTTGTGATGAAAAGTTTTCTTAAAATGAAGTTTTAAAAGTCATCCAGTATAAATATCTTCAACAGAATAATTCTAGACTGAGTGTTGTATTGAAAATGATGCGTCCAGGTGCTAAACTAGTTTATCTGTACTATACCAATTGCTTGTTGCTCAAGACAAAAATTCGAAGATTCAAACTTTATTTTACCTTTAACTGTACTTATCAATTTGTATATATGCGCCGAAGTACGTACTTTGAAGGGTTATAGTTTGTATCTCTTCCACGGAAATTGAGACTAAAAAGTCAATATGTTTTCAACAGTGGGATTATCTTTTATTTACTTTAATAGTGGATAGAAGATTGAAATTTTAAAATCTTTCAAAATACTCAACCAGTAAACAAACAGCTCTGAATTTATTACATTCTGTGGAAGCCGTCTACCTCGATTAAAATGATCGAACTCTAATGGATTATTCAGAAAGACAGAATTACCAGTTTCTTACGATCCTGACGGATTCAGTTTCTAATACGTAACTGTGTAGCATTTTATTTCATGTCACTGAGTATTATAAATCATTTTTTTATTTTAGTTTGTTAAATTTTTTTTAGTGGTGGGTTTTGAGTTTTACTGTGTTAATATATTCAGTGTTTTCTAGTTATTATCACGTAAATTTTGATATCATCGCCATGAGTTTTAAGTTAATTTAATTCTAGAGAATCAACCGTTTGAATATTTTTATAATGATTTCATAGTTAGTGCCATTTTTAACCAAGTTTCAGTATTATTATTTAAAATCATTTAGATGATTCTTAAGGAAATTTATTTGCTAACACTAAAACTAATACCCATACCCAAGGTAGTAGTAATACAGATTTACATAAATAATTCATATCATTTTCCAATAATTTAGAATAGTATTTTATGAATTTTACGAAGAGCATTTATTATTATTGTTTTTTGTCGTCCAACTTCGAGACTAACAGATGGGATTCCGTAATGATCGGTCGTGCACAGACGAAACCGCAACTCTATGGATCGTCATTGAACAGTCAACTGAATGGAATTCGTCGCTATACATCAACTTCATTGATTATGAGAATGCATTTGACAATGTAGATAGGAGGACTTTATGGAAACTTCTTCGACGCTATGGTGTCCTGAGATCGTCAATATCAAACGGAATTCATAACACGAATTACAGTGCAAAGTCGTGCATGGAGGCCAGCTGACAGATGCATTCCAAGTAAGGACCGGAGTCAGACAAGACTGTTTATTTCCCTACTTTCACTTTCTTCTGATGGTTGACTGGATTATGAAGACCTCCACATCTGAGGGAAAGCATGGAAAACAATAGACAGCTCGAAATCAACCAGACGATCTGGACTTCAAAGATGACCTGGCCCTTCTATCCCATTCACACGAACAGATGCAGATGAAGACAACTAGTGTGGCAGCAGCCTCTGCATCAGTAGGCCTCAACATACACAAGTGAAGAAGCAATATCCTCGAATCTGTCAGTTAGTTTCAACGTAGGACCAAGCACAAACATGCATCGGTCCAAGTTGCCACAACTCATACCCTCGAATACAGCACAGAGAACAACCAAATCATACCTGATGGAGAAACTCTGGAACAGGTGGAAAATTTCACGTACTTTGGCAGCATCATCGATGAACAAGGAGGACCTGATGAAGGCGTTAAGGCAAGAATTGGCAAAGCAAGGGTCGCATCTCTACAGTTGAAGAACATATTGAACTCAAAACAACTGCCAACCAATATCAAAGTCAGAATCTTCAATACGAACGTCAGGACAGTTCTACTGTACGGAACTGAAACGTCGAGAATTACCACAACTATTATCAAAAAAGTAGAAGTAATTCTAAATATCGTAAGATGCTGAATGTCCGTTGACCGGATACCATCAGCAACAGTCTGCTGTGGAAGAGAACAAAGCAACTTCGATCTGAGGAGGAAACTATGAAACGATGTTGGTAGTGGATAGGACACACATTGGGAAAATCATCAAACTGCATCACGAAGCAAGCGCTAACTTGGAGTCCTGAAGGGAAACGAAAAAGTTGGACGCCAAAAAACACATTGCGCTGAGAATTGGAAGCAGATATGAAGAGAATGAATAGCAAGTGGAAAGAACTGGAAAGAAATGCCCAGGGCAGAATTGGATAGAGAATGATGATGGGTGGTCTATGTTCCTCTACGAAAAGTAACAGGTGTAATTAAGTAATGTTTTTCTGTCCTTCATGTTAACATTTTCTGTTTATCGTTTACATCGAAATGTTCAGTATTGAAAATGGTAAAGTTAGCGTAAATCACGTTACGTTTATTTGTAGTTGATAGGAAGCGGCGGTAGTAGATAGAAATCAAGATTCTAAGTGACAGATCGATAAAGTAGATATTTACCTACTGTAGATTTTGATTTATTATGCTGATATGGTTGGAACAACTTTATTGGTCAATCTACACTGTTGTTGAATCAATTTACACGAACCATACAGTTACACTTAGTGGGTTTTTATATTGTTCATAAATGTATAAAGAGTAATATTTTATCTAATTGTGAAATCGCAGGTTAAACTTGTATTTTCTGATTTTCGCTGGTTCAGTGAGATAAAAGATTCTGGAGGTAGAAATCATATGTCTAGCCTATTTGTATATTACCAGTGAGAATCTATTTCGGTTACCAAATTATAGCCTTCAAAGTCATATCAGGGGTTACAATCAATAATTCTAAGTTTTTTTCTTGTTGTCTATAGATGTTTCCTTTCTGTATCATGAATCACAAACTTAGCAGAACGACACATTTCGTAAAGCAAGTTATTCAACATTTACTTGAAAAAGCTGTACATTATTTTGAGTGGACGTTATTTTATCTGGTGTTATAAAAATTCTTTAAATACCTATTAATGTGATAGACGATGAATCAGAATTTTATCATTCTTTGTGCGTAGGTAGCAGACAGATAACTATCCACTTCTGGTTATCGGAAATTATACATGAAATTATTTCTGACTAACATCGAAACGTACTCATTAATTCGCCATACTATTCTGTTCAATAATAACTGAGGTTACAACGAATGTATTTCATAGTTTAAATCATGAACTAATTTTAACTAAACTACAATCGAAACCTAGAAACAGTGGACGGCCGTTTCACCATATTATGGAAGTCCTCTATTTGTGATAATACATGTGCCTTAACTCCGTTTTCCCTGTACGAAATATTTCTGAAAGCCTTCAGAAGTTAGATTGTTTAACTGCATCATCATTTCTCATTGTTGTTTTCATATCTTCACTTCGTATAAACGAGTCTATTAGTTGGTTTTATACTCATCAGCACAATTAGTGTTATTATCCTCGTCTGCCTTTCGAATTCGTATCACAAATTCCTATGCATGTGCTTATTGAGACTTTTATCTATTGTGTGTTGCAGTTCTGAGTGTTATATGTATGAAATCATATGAGTCTTTGAGTCTGAATAATACAGGGTACACAAGTCACTTGATTAGTTTTTCTGACTGGTTGTTTTGAGAACAGATGAATTTTCTATGGATTTATTAATCGTCAGTGGGTATAGAAGTTTTACTAGTCGAATTATTGGCGTAGACAGGAAACTTAACATATATCTTAAAAGAAGACAGTTAGTCGTTAAATTAACTTTCAACTGATGCACATTAACCAGGATTTCGACAACCTGAATAGTGAAGTTTTATCCTGTAGTGTAACTATGCAGACACCAAGAGCCATTCTAAAGACAGAAAAGTCTATAAAAACAAGTTTAGCTGACAAATCTCAAATAAGACAAAATTATTATTTTATGATTTGTGATACAGTGGCCCAATAAAACATCGGCGACATGATAAGCCTACATGATTGGACAAAGAGCGGTTTCCTTTTCCAAGCGATTTGACAGCATATTGGTAGGATAGTATTGCTTGAATATTTACGATATATATAAATCTGTAGTGTTTTCTCTGTTCAGTTCGCCAATAAAATACTTACGTTTCACTCTCAATGTTCTCACTTGAGTAACAAGTTGAGTTCGCGAGCAGGATCATATTTACCAGTAGCAGAACATAACAATTTCATTGCTTGCTAACATAACTTAATTTGGAGTGAATGAGAAAATATTTTTTTCTCATAAAAAATGGTAGAATCTTTTTGAAATTTTAAGTCATTGTTCACAACGAAAGGAACATACTTACCCTCTGGAAGTATAGGGGCATTACACGTATTAATTTCTTGGTCAATTATATTGAACCATGCTTTTTCGCATTCTTTACTGGCTTCAGTGTATAGTTTGTCACATTGAATAAAACGACGACGATTTATTTTACTATCTTCTAATTCTAATTTGTGCAATGTTTCAGTCCTTTCAGTGAATAGATTTTTGCCTATTGAATCAAGCCAAGGTCGACCAGAAGGAACTTGAAGTAGTTTGTTTGTGGGAAAAAAAAGTATTAAAAAATATTAAACATAATGCCTATTCGATTCATAAGTGAAAAATCAAAAAAATAATTATGCTTTATCTTCCTATCAGAAGTAATTATAGTGATTGATGTATTAATTATGGCATTACTCGCTATGGTAGCTAGTGTCAACCAAATAAGGTGCTCTTGTAAAGTCCCCAAATTAAAGTACAAATCAGTGTGGTAAAATTAATTCTTGTTAGATTTAGAAGCCTATATATATATATATATATATATATATATATATATATATATATATATATATAGGTTTTCTCTTTCAATTATTTATTTATTTATTTATTTTAACACATAAGTATAGGTACAGGGAGGCACCAAAATACATATGCGCCACACAAAGCTCAATTGATTTGTGTGAGGGCTGTGATACTGCCCAGGTGCCCAAACCGAAGCAGGTGGTTGTCTTAGGGGGCCACACCCCGAGCCTTTGACCTGAACGTCTGACCCACAAGGCAGTGGAGCATCGTGAGGAGATGCAGTCCCATGGTAGCCGGTGACCAACGATTGGTTCATACGCCATTTGTTCCCGCAGGATACTGGAGCCCATGTGCACCATTGATTTGGGGTCCGGTTAAAGCGCCAGACATTCGCTTTTCGTCCTCTCATTTTTGTAAACAACACCCCCGCCACGAGAAGGCAGTGAGTAGGACTTCCCTGGCAGGGGCTATATACGCATGGCCATGTGAGAGCATTTCGAGAGGGAGAGCGGACTCTCCCCACTCTCGGCCGTACCAGGGCATTTGGGGGCTTTCTCTTTCAACACCTAATCGATTGTGAAGTTAGTCTCTTAGCTAAGAATAACACTTAAGCTTAATAGCTATTTTAAAATAACACCAGTTACAATGGTGACTGAATTACAAGAACTGATTAGTGGCTACTGAAAACACCTAGTATTCCTTTCAACTACAACTCTGTTATTTGTAGTACTAAGTCAAATCTCAACTTACTAAAAAAATTCAATTATGGTTGAATAAATAGTAAGTAAATTAAAAACTAAACTTTCTAGTAATTTTGTGGAAGATAGATGGCTTAAAAGATCAGCTGTAGTCTGCAGAAATATCAAACTTACGAGTTTTAACTTTAGTCTTCGCTCCCCTTTCAGTTCGCATATCTTGTAATGCATTATACAACGTCCAAAGTTCATCTTTATCCAAATATTTTATATGTGTGATTAATTTTTTTACCCTAAAATATCATCATTATCACTATTATGGAATAAGTACAATATTAGTGGAAAGAATAAGCAAGTCAAATTGTATAAGTATGAACAAACAGTCAATTAAATTTATGAGCAATAAAATGTTCCACATTTTGAAGATATGCGTTGAATTCTCTCAAGTTATTGCGATTGATTCTGAGCCGTGTTACCAACAGTCTATAATTACTGATATACAACACTGTGAAGATTCTATTCTGAAAATCTAACAACTTTTACGAATGGTATCAACACTTAACAGACTGCACTGCGCATTTCGATCAGACCCATTAAGATATTTGATTAGCATAAAACCTAAGCTCAAGGTTTTATGTCAACAACATACAATCGAGTATCAATAAATATAACAGAGTAATGTAACTGATGATTTACAATAATTTTTTCCTCTCATATGTATATTACGATAATACGTTAATAAGACTAATCGTTTTCTATCAGATTTATTTATTTATTTATTTTAACACATAAGTATAGGTACAGGGAGGCACCAAATACATATGCGCCACACGAATCTCAATTGATTTGTGTGAGGGCTGTGATACTGCCCGGGTGCCCAAACCGAAGCAGGTTTTCTATCAGAACCAGGATTCGCGACCCAAAATAGAGAATCAGATTAACACTAGAGAATACTTACTTCAATACAACCATAAGTAGTCACACACAGTGAGTCCAGAGTAGAAATTAATGATAAGAAGGAAAATCATATATTTAATAGTCCGTAGGCTGTGGCTGTTTGTCCACACTTAACAACCAATCACACATCACAGAGTACGATATCGACTTACAGTAATGAACACAATCCATAGTAATAGTGCTTCATTCAAGAAAGTATGATTTATTAGCAACACTACTGCTAAAGATAGGAAACACTAATCAAACTTCCTCAGAAATAATTATAATGGAAGTAATCAGCAGAAAGTCTTTAGAAACTTTAGGTATATTTTTTGGGAGATATACTTAAATACCTCTACAAAACAGCGACAATTCATTTTATGACAGCTATTCATCTGGGTATCAACCACAAGCTAAGTGGCAGGGACTTAGTAGCCTAAAGCCAAATGCCCTAATCACTAAGCCCCTGCTTCACTATCTAAGCAACCATGAGATAGATTTTCTACCCCAACATAAACATAAAGTATTTGGACAATAATGCCCCACTGACAAAATCAACATGAAGCTGAGTCCTGGTGATCGATACTTGATTTTTGCAAGTAAAAGTGCTGACTGTACGATGTCACAACTCCAACAGATTACAGAATTGCAATTTCTCGTCAAAGGATAATAAGTAAGAGAACTATCATTTCAAGTGACAGAGACGCTTATACACAATAGACTAATGAAAATAAAAACTCACTCCTCAACCTCCGTATGAACGTTGCCATTAGATGCATTTTCATCTTTTACTTCCACTTCAGCTTCTTTATTGGCTTCAGATGAAGTTGGCACTTCGTATTTAGTAACAAGATCTCCAGCAACCATCAAGTCCCATGGTTGCGGACTTCGTATAGATACATAACTATTCTGAAACATCTTCCCATTTTCACTAGTTATGACATTTTCCGCCGCTGAAGGACTTTCGAACTCCACGAAGATCACACGTCGGTAAATAGATATAGCTAAAAAGATACAAATACACCAACTGAAAATTAAATTTATAGCAACTCGTTTAACAAGTATATTTTTGTGACCGGTTTATAGACACACAGTGATAGTAAACATTTATCTAAAATGAAATGCTGCAAGGTTTTGACCTGTAACTCACTGACTCAAGAACAAGATTTCTAACTACGAATGATCAATGCCGAATACTCACAAAGCAACTGTGTATAATCATATTTGTCACCAACCTTCAGTAACTCCACACATGGTCTTGAGGACTTTCATTAAACCATTAGACAATAAGAGTTAAGATGGCGCAAATGAACAATTTGGTTCAGAAAACCAAAAATATTCGAGGTTATGAGTTAGTGTTAAGACGAAAGTGCTTGATAGCCATCTGCATAAGAATACTTATGCAGTTGGTTTTTTGATTTCAAGCGTCAAGAACACATGATTTACCTCAAAAAGTTCATAAATCATAAAATGCTGCATACATCTTAATTCCATTTGTTTTTCATTATTTTTTTATGCAAAATAAACCACTCTTATAAATTTCGCTCAAAACACAAGAACCGAAATTTTATTCGTTTATCAGTACAGTATAGTTCTACCGAAAACTTTACTTAAACATTCACTCCTACCTAAAAGACTACAAAATCAAGGTTGTTGAATGTTAGACAGAAATGTCAAGAAAATTACAGTTTATTCATAACTATAATAGCCGATAATCGTATTTCAATATGGAAATAACTATTTACCAAGTAAATATTTCCTAAGAACTTTCTTTAACCGAAAGTGGATCCGTGAACAGTTAAGTTTACTCAAACTGAAGTTTTCTTAAAATGTCCTAGTCGTATATTACTTGAATACATAGAAATTTAAAACAAGAATTTGTAGTATATATAAATTCTAGTATAATAGGGTACACCAAAAAAATCGAGTCATACAATGTCCAATTACAATATTGTGAAAGGAAAAAATCCACACAGTCAATCGACAAACAAACAAGAGTACAGGTTAGTAGGAGATAAAGTTCAGTTGGTGTTAGTTTATTTTGCTTTCGTGAAAAAATGTAGCAAGAAGCTAGCATACGATTGCAACAAAATGGACAAAGAAAACGTAAGGTAAATTCCTGTACCTATCTATTGGGATGCCCCCAAATGCCCTGGTATGGCCGAGAGCGGGGAGGGTTCGCCCTCCCTCTCGAAATACTCTCACACGGCCACGCGTATACAGCCTCTGCCAGGGAAGTCCTACTCACTGCCTTCTCGTGGCGGGGGTGTTGTTTACGAAAATGAGAGGACGAAAAGCGAACGTCCGGCGCTATAACCGGATCCCAATTCTATGGTGCACATGGGCTCCAGTATCCTGAAGGAACAAATGGCGTATGAACCAACTTTTGGTCACCGGCTTCCATGGGACTGCATCTCCTCACGATGCTCCACTGCCTTGTGGACTAGACCTTTAGGTCAAAGGCTCGGGGTGTGGCCCCCTAAGAAAACCACCTGCTTCGGTTTGGGCACCCGGGCAGTATCTCAGCCCACACACCAAAACATGATGAAATATTCGCTTACGGAAAATATTCATTCTTCTCTGACTAACATTGAAATGACTGATACTATTATTATTATTATTATTATTATTATTATTATTATTATTATTATTATTTACTACGTCATTTACTCACTATCTCCTATTTCTACTTTTTGTATCCGTTTCGACTCAGACAGCAGCTCGCCTATGGTAAAAATTCAGCTTTATCTAAACGTTCTCGAGTCACTGCCTGGTTTGAAAATTGTATGTTACCATCGAATAAGAGTACTGAAGCAGTCTTTCTGAAACCACGCGCACCATTCAAACTGGCTGCCTTTAACGTTCGCACACTTATGCAGGTCGGACAACAGATAGGGCTGGCAATGTCTTTGGAAAGTCTTAATATTGATGTGTGTTGTCTATCCGAGACCCGTATTCAAGACTCTGGTGAAGTACTACAAGTTCGCTCTCCATCTGTCGCTCCAAAAAGCTTGTTTTACGTGCGTTTATCCGGGGACCCTGTGGCATCTTCGTCTGGTCTTGCTGGCGTTGGTGTCGCACTAAGCGCAAGAGCTGAGGCAGCACTAGTCGACTGGATCCCCATTAACAGTCGGTTATGTGCTGTTAGATTAGAAAGTACCATCAGAGTGAGAAGAAATCGGCGTGAGAAACGATGTCTTTTCGTCATCTCCGCCTATGCCCCGACAGATTGCAGCCCGGATGCAATCAAGGATGAGTTCTACCACCAGTTATCTGTTCTTCTCCAGAAAGTGCGTTCGACAGATATTGTAGTACTAGCTGGAGACTTGAATGCTCAGGTCGGGCGTCTAGGCACAGAAGAGAGTCGTTTAGGTGGCCGATGGGGACTCGTCGGTCGCAGGACAGATAACGGGGAACGTCTACTGCAACTATGCACAGACCACAACCTGTTTCTGGCTAGCACTAACTTTCGGCACAGTCATCGCCGATGTGCCACCTGGCGTCCCCCTTCTGCATCTCAAGCCTGGACTCAGATTGATCACATCGCGATCAGCTACCGCTGGCGTGGTTGTGTACAAGACTGCCGCTCCTTTTGGAGTACCTATCTGGAATCTGATCATGCTCTGGTCTGCGCCAATCTTACCTTACTTTTCAGTGGACAACGAAGTGACCGCCACCACAGGATTGATGTTAGCAAGCTGGCTGCAACTTCTGTTGCTAGTAAGTACCGAGCCGAGCTAGCTTCTAGGCTAGCCACTATTCCACCGAAAAGTATAGATGAGCATTGGTTGCAATTGCATGACGCCATGAAAATGGCGGGTCAAGTCAGCTGTGGGATTGCGAAACGTCCCGCTTACAAGCACTGGGTTTCTTCTGGTTCCTTACAACTGATTGAAGCCCGTCGGTCTACTCCGGGTGACCGTGAGTTTGACCACAGACGAAGGTTGTTACGTAATGAAATCGGGCAAAGCTTGCGTAAGGACCGAGAAACCTGGTGGTCGGAGCGTGCCAGTGAGTTGGAAGCAGCAGCTGCATCTGGTAATTACCGGAAGCTCTTCCAACTCATCCGAGCCACCGGCAGCAAGAAGTCTGTTGTGAGCGAAACAATCTGCGAGGATGACGGAACGCCAATCACTAACATCCATCGACGTCTTGGACGATGGGCAGAATTCTTTGAAGGGCAGTTCAACTGGCCTGCTGCTCCGGCAACATCGGTCAGACTGTCCTACCCTCCTTGGCCGGTGACGACTGATCCACCAAATGAGGCGGAAGTCCGCAAGGAACTCCAACTCTTGAAACGTTACAAATCACCAGGCCCAGACGACTTACCCCCGGCTCTTTTTAAAGATGGTGGTGACTTTCTGACTAAAGGACTGACGACGTTGTTTACAAAGATCTGGGAACTAGAGAGTGTACCAACGTCATGGAATGAGTCGATAGTTGTCCCTATCTTTAAAAAGGGTTCACGTTGTTCCTGTAACAACTATCGGGGGATAAGTCTACTTCCGATTGCGTCCAAGCTATTGGCTTCCGTCATACTTCGTAGGTTGTTCAGAACCCGAGAAGGATTGACTCGCGAGGAGCAGGCTGGGTTTCGTTCTGGTCGAGGATGTATTGATCATATCTTCACCCTCCGCCAAGTGTTAGAACACCGCCATACTTATCAAAGGCCAACAATCGTAGTGTTTCTTGATATCAAGGCTGCCTTCGATTCGTTGGACAGAACTGTTCTCTGGGATTGTCTATTGAAGAGGGGTGTGCCTGAGAAGTTTATTAACATCCTAAAAGCCTTATATACAAACACCTCAGGTAGAGTGAGGGCATACAACCACCTTTCTCCACTATTCCATTCAAGCAGTGGAGTTAGGCAGGGTTGCCCAATCTCACCATTCCTCTTCAACTTTGCCATCGATGACATTCTGGAAACAGCTCTGACGGATGTAAGTAATGGTGGTGTGGATCTGTTGCCTGGAGAAAGACTTCTCGACCTTGAGTATGCGGATGATATTGTCTTACTGTGCGAGAATGCCCAAGCCATGCAATCCGCACTTAATCAGTTGGCAATCAGTGTCCGTAGGTATGGTATGTGCTTTGCACCTTCGAAGTGCAAAGTACTTCTACAAGACTGGCAGGATTCTAATCCTGTACTCACTCTGGATGGTGAGCAGATAGAAGTAGTCGAGAAGTTCGTGTATCTAGGTAGCTGCATAAGTGCTGGTGGTGGCGTGAGTGATGAGATCAATGCACGTATAGTGAAAGCCAGAGCGGCTTATGCCAATCTGGGCCATCTTTGGCGCCTTCGTGATGTTAGTCTGGCTGTAAAAGGTCGGATCTACAACGCGACGGTGAGAGCAGTTTTGCTCTATGCTTGTGAAACCTGGCCTCTCCGAGTTGAGGATGTTAGACGACTCTCTGTGTTCGATCATCGTTGCCTCCGAAGGATTGCTGGCATCCAGTGGCAACACCATGTCAGTAATGCAGAGGTTCGGCATCGAGTGTTCGGTCACAGAGACGATAATGAAATTGGTGTCACCATCTTGAAACACCGACTTCGGTGGCTTGGACATGTTCTACGAATGTCGTCCCAGAGAATTCCTCGTCGTGCATTATTTGCCGACTCTGGGACTGGTTGGAAAAAGCGGAGAGGTGGTCAGTATATGACATGGTGTCGTGGTATGAAAGAAAGCTGCAAAGGGCTAGCTTATGTTGGTCCTTCACGACTCCCTGGTTGGGGTCCGAGAGATGGTGTAACGCAGTGGCTAGAGACGTTATCAGATATGGCTCAGAATAGAAGCCAGTGGCGATCCTGCTGTAACCTTCTTTTACTTTCTTCATAAAAAGGTGGTCGTATTCTTCCTTAACAGAAAGATCTGTTCTGATTGTACCTTTCCGTTTCCCCCACCATTGTTCTCTCTCTCTTCTTTTTTTTATAATTCCCCACGTTCATTACTTTTTTTTTTCTTCTCTTTTCTCCTTCTCTTCTAATTATCACTGTTTTGTGTGGCGCATATATATTTGGTGCCCCCCTGTACCAATATTTATGTGTTCAAATAAATAAATAAATAAATCTATTGGGATGGAAAGTAATAAACTAGTACTCTTAAAATTTTCTACATTAAAACAGTTTCAGTTAATTTAAAACTTATTTAAAAAACGAAATGTACAAATAGGCACTTCGTGTAAGGAGCTAGTTAATTTAATGGTATAAAAAATGTTAAAATCTTGTATCCAAGGATGAACAAGGCAAGTCTGACTATAAAAGGAAACAAGTGGAAGTAGAGGAGTTTCAAAACAGTTACCTACATATAATCTCTATTTGGTTGACTCTATAGATTACAACATTTTACTAAAAATACAAAATGTCTACCTTGAAGCGAGTCGCCATTGAGGATATAATCATCGTTTACCACAAATACCAAGTGTATGACATTTTACGTGATGGTAAGACGTTTGAAACCACTATAAAAAAGTTGACCATTCGCTCTTAGTTTTAATGCTTCTGTAGCTAAAGTCACTTCATTTCTATTTCGGACCAAGTTCAGTGAATGAATAAGGATGAAAGTGTTTGAATAAGTCATGAAACAACCTATAATCAATAGTGAAATACTGCATAGTGTTTTGCCTATACCTTCAGTAAATGAAAGTCTTATTTCAAAAATAATTTTTCCCATTATTCGTATATTTGGCCGTTCGATATCTAATACATTTTCTTTGGTCACCATAAGGATGGAGTCAAATAGAAAACGATCTAAAATAAGTAGGAACTGAAATTTAGAACTCATAAAAAATAAGCCTAAAGAAGTTCAAGATTCTGCACAGTTTAACACTTACATTTAACAACACCAAATGGTGCTAACCATGTTTCCACTGATTCTGGTTTCACGTTATGTGTATTTGCCAAATCCTCAATAACAACACTGCATGTGTCATCCATGTGTGAATGCTAAACATGAGAATTTTTATGAAAACAAAGAAACAAAATTCGTACAACCACAGACTTTTAACAGGTGGAATATGTAGTTAAACTATGAATTCAGAGACAAAATCTACCTGTTTGATGAATGAGAACCATAAGACAAATACGAACCAAGTCAGAAGTTCGTACTTTGAAATGACTGAAGGAGCTATAGGAGAATAGTGACAGTGAGAGAAAAACATAGCTTATGTGTAAAACTACTAATTTTCCACATTAACCGAAGCGATCGATAAAATGGAAAACAAGGGAAATTCTGTTAGTGAAATAAAAGGACAATAGTGGAGAAACACACCAAAAATTCTTTCTTTTCACCTGCCTAGGTAGGATAACGTGAAACTCCAACTCTTTATCATTCTATGTTTGAAATGTCTCAGAATTGCCCACTTTCTACCTAATCGCACTCCAAATTGTCTACCTTTCTCCTAGACCCAACTGTCTCCTATGTTCGCATTTATTCCCATTTCAAAACACGACGACTGCTATCGACTACATTCGAAAATGATACATGGTTAGAGACATTCATTGGCAAGCAATAACATCATAGTTTACAAGGAGATTATTAACAGGCCGATGCTCGTTACGTATTTCCACTGTAAGTACAAATTCCCATTGTCATTAACGAAGATCTGCAGAAGTTACATGTAATGGATCATTAGTTAAGAATGTGTCATAATTCACAATCGCATATCAAACCAAACAGGCCTTCACAATACACACTTAATTAGTTCAAGCGTATCACATATAAGTCAGAATGTCAGCGCATGGTAGGAATGAGCTTTAAGAACTGTTTCTCCTTTTCTAATCATTAGACAAACTAACATCGCGATTCTCACCATCTGTCACCGAAAAAGAAATTGCTAAACTGCATAACACTGCGACACAAGGGTGTTTTCATGACATGAGACAACCTGTAAAAGTATCTCAGAGGAAAAACAGGACATGTATGTACTACTCTATGGTTATAACTTCCCACTACTATTCTACAGGTGCAGTGTTCAGTATTAACGAACGTAACCGTAATTTATACTTCAGATCGACAGTTGCTTAACGACCTATAACTGTTAGACATTATTGTAAATCTTCGCGTATATTAAATTTCAGAATTCACAAGCAGACTATTTTGGTTAGGAATAGTAACACTGCAATGTAGGGAAGGCGTTATTATTAAAATGTATTTCAATATTTAACTTGACCTTTTGTGTTATTGCTTGCCAATGAATGTCTCTAACCATGTATCATTTTCGAATGTAGTCGATAGCAGTCGTCGTGTTTTGAAATGGGAATAAATGCGAACATAGGAGACAGTTGGGTCTAGGAGAAAGGTAGACAATTTGGAGTGCGATTAGGTAGAAAGTGGGCAATTCTGAGACATTTCAAACATAGAATGATAAAGAGTTGGAGTTTCACGTTATCCTACCAAAGCAGGTGAAAAAGAAGACTTTTTGGAGCTTTTCTTCAGTATTCCTTCTTCTTTATTTCATATTACCCTTTATTGCTTGATTAAGCAATCAATTGTTTCGACCTGAAAAAAAAAACCTCCACTATAGCACAGATTTCATAAATGAAGTGATATAAATCATAACGGCTTTTCTGAAAATTATGCGGACGAAAATCACAAGTGCTTACAAGGTCAACGCCAATGAATAACGTAGCGCTTCAGTGGTATTGTCCACTGACGGAGGCTAATGAGCTCTTAAAGGTCAGACTATCGTAAAATGATTGATCCATATTCTCGACAATGCGTAAGGTTTAGCAGAAGCGGTCAGATCAAGACATCTTTAGATTTGAGTTCAGCCACACTACTTCTGATAACTTTCACCCTTTAAGTAACAAAAGTGATACTATCGCAATGATTCATGATATAAGTCTAATCACCAATGACATTATGTTATCACGGCTATTTACAAGTTCGGACAATTTTGAGACCTGCTTGAAAGAAGTACACAGGGTAATAGGACTTCTGTGAATGGTAATTAATTTTATAGTATGCGCACACTAATTAACATTACCGCGCTGTTTGGAAACGACTGTAGCGGTAGATGAAAACCCCAAAATAAATAGCTCTATAAATCTTCAACATTGTATGCTGACCACATTACTTTTAATGGACTCATCTAGCTGAAGGCGCTCGGTCATGCATCCGCACCAGATCACGTGTGGGAACGCCGTGCTCAACATCTACTGCGATCGCTAGCCAGATTAGATCAGATGATCCTCGATATATTGATAGCCTATCAAATATATCTTCGAACCTCCTCGCTTCTGTCTTTTGATTTCACTTGGTGGGTACGCTTCATATTAGGTGTTACTGGTTAAAGCGTTGTCAAACCTGGAATACCTGTGGCATCTTCAGCGGCATGCAGTGCAACGAATGCAAAGGATGGTACCGCGAAGGTTGCACGATTCCAACGCCTGTGGCTTTCAAGCAGTTTAGTAAAAATGGTTGCGTGTGGTTTTGTCAGTACTGCAGCAAACAGCTTGCTAACCGATGACATTTCATTTGTAAATGCTTCTGAAAAGTGCATTGGCAAACGCGAATGAGACTCATCGAACATTACTCTTTCAGTAGATACATAAATCAATACAAGGTCAACTCAAATAACCTCAGTAATAGTTTAATTACATGGATTGAAAGAGGAACGACTGACTTCATATTGGTCTGTCTTAACTAAAAGCTGAAGAAATTAATTTTCTTCTGTCCTCCATCCTCTAAATGGTAGTCGGCGGGAAATGTCTAACAATCGCAAGGCTAGATCTGCTGATAATCTACCGGAATCTTACAGTGTGTTTGACACGACTGTTGTTGCTACTCCAACGAAATTTGATGATTGGATTCAGGTCAAGAACAAGAAATGATATAACTCTATTAAAGAAAAGCCAGTCCTCCTCAAGAAAGTAGCCGAGAAATTAGGGACTGATCATAGTGATAGGCCAGTTATCTTTCGTAGAATCAAAGGAAGTGAAAGCTTGGAACTTAAAACTTGTTTTGTGCATGACAGCTACTAAATCAGCTAATGATTCAAAATATCTCTGGAGTCACCTTGCTAAAGGTGTTTAGAATAGATAGCCAAATGAGCTTGAAACAGAATAAAACCAGGCTGCTTAAAGTAGTATTTGAATCTCGCAATGAACGGGGCGTAGTACCACAGAATGGACATACACTAAAGGGGTCAGGAGTTTTTGTGCATAAGGACTCGCCGCTCTCAGACCGTGTAAAAAGAACTAATACTTAGGTTAGATGCTGGCGAAAAGGACCTAAAAATTGTAGATTTTCAGGTTGTGAAGCTTCGACAGAGAACGGTACCGAAGTCACAATGGGTGCAGCACTTAGCCATTTAAATAGGCTTCGGATCTGTTACACAAATGCCCGAAGCTCCCCCAATAAGCAGTCAGAACAAGGTGTATAGATTAAGTTTACCGAGCCGGATGTAAACCTAGTCACAGAAACTTGGCTGACACAGTCTACAGACAGTGTGGAAATTGATTTTGAAGGTTTTACGTTGGCAAGTGCCGACAGAATTCAGAATCGCAAAAGAGGGGGTAGCTCTTTTCTTCAGGAATACTATCTCATAAACGTGGGAACTAACGACCCGTTAGCCTAACTAGCGCGGTTGTTAATATCTCAGAAAAGATTATTCGAAAGGAGCTGTTTACTTATCTCGATAAAAACCGAATTTTTTAGGTAAGTGACATGGCTTTGAAACAAGTTATCCATGTCTAACTAACTTATCAGTGGCTCGTGGAAGCTGATGCGCCTTTAAAGACCAAAAGTTATCTGTAAATATAGCAAGTGCTAACAAATACAATAGAAACAAAATACCCAAAAGTACCGACGATAAACTGCTTTGTGAACAAAAACGATCATCTGAGAGGATTCTTTAACTGAAATAAATTCAATTAAGGTTTAAGCATCGGTCTTGATACGTAATGAACGATCGAAACAGTAAAATCTACTCTGCGTAGAAAAATATCATTGTCTTGAAGATGCCACAGGTATTCCAGGTTTGACAACGCTTTAACCAGTAACACCTAATATGAAGCGTACCCACCAAGTGAAATCAAAAGACAGAAGCGAGGAGGTTCGAAGATATATTTGATAGGCTATCAATATATCGAGGATCATCTGATCTAATCTGGCTAGCGATCGCAGTAGATGTTGAGCACGGCGTTCCCACACGTGATCTGGTGCGGATGCATGACCGAGCGCCTTCAGCTAGATGAGTCCACTAAAAGTAATGTGGTCAGCATACAATGTTGAAGATTTATAGAGCTATTTATTTTGGGGTTTTCATCTACCGCTACAGATCACTCCCCCAGTCGTGGGGTAGTGATGACGTTAAGACGTGACCAGCCAGAATTTAAACCCAACGAGTTTGTCGTTGCTTAACACTTTTCTGATAGGTTGCAAGGTTTAGCAGCGTCTGGTCGTCTTTCCTTACCATAAGGGACCATTAAGTACAATATAGTAAAAAAGAAAAAGTACAAAGAAAATTTCCGTTCCTCGTCAAATTCATCGTTCTTTTCCAGTCATTCTGGTAAAAATAATAGTATGTAGATGCATGTTGAAGTACACTCGCACGCGCGTAAAAACACAAAGCGGGCGAAAAATGGAAAATAAACTCATGCTCACGCAATAAAGTAAAAAAGGATTTTTATAATATAGATTTTTTGTTTTGTTTTTTCGAAATAAAAATAAAAATATATAAGCGTATTAAATTTGTTTTTTTTTAATTATATATAGTACAAGGGAAAATCGAGATGATATAAATTGTAAACTTGTATCTTACGTGCAATAATCGTTCAAATGTTCTGAAAATCGTAATCTTCCAGAACGCGTTGTTTTGAGTTTATTTTCTGATACCGCCGAAGTATTAACGCGTGTGTTGGCTGTCGATTGAGGTATTATAAGTGCAGGAGTCGTGTCGTGCGATTATACCGAAGGAAAGTCGACATGAATAGGATTTCCGTCTAAATACTCTGCTTTGAGACGGTCGATGCTGATGTTATCGTCGATTCCGTCCTAATCAATTATATAGCACTTAGGTTCTCGTTGAAGAACTTTGAAAGGTCCTTCGTATGCTGATTCGAGAGGTCGTCGATGTGAGTCTCGAAGTACAAAAACGTGTGTACTATATCGTAAGTCAGGTTGAACGAAATCACCAGTTGATTGCGGTCGAGTGGAAACAAGTTTAACTGAACTCATTGCGTTTGTAAGCCTGTTCGTGTAGGAGGTTAGATTCATGTTCATCGAGGAGGATGAAGGATCCACGAAGGGTCGTACCATAAACGAGTTGAGACGCAGTGTATCCAATGTCAGCTTTCACTGCATTGCGAATACCTTATAAGACGAGTGGAAGAGCGTCAGTTCACCGAGAAATGTTTGAGGCTGATAGTGACACTTTTAGTTGTCGGTGAAAACGTTCTACTAACCCGTTTGCTTGTGGGTGGTAGGCCGTCTTTTGGAAGCGAGTGATTCCCAGTTTTTCGGTCAGACAACGGAAAAGTTCAGATTCAAACTGACGTCCAAGATCTGTAGTGACGGTTATTGGGCAGCCGAAGTTTGCTACCCATCGTTCGACGAAGGCGCGGGCCACTGTTTTGGCAGTGATGTCTTTGATGGGTACTGCTTCTGGCCATCGAGTAAAACGGTCTACGCAGGTTAAAAGATAAGAATATCCATTTGAGTCTGGTAAAGGTCTAACCGAATCCAAATGAACATGGTCGAAACCAGCGTCAGGAGTTTTGAAAGATCCTAAGGGACATTTGTTATGTTTAATCACCTTAGATTTTTGGCAGCCCACTCCCTTACGTCTTTATTCATACCAGGCCAGCAAAACCGTTCTGCCATAAG